GTTGGCGATTGCCAACAGCTCCAGAATCGACCAGAGTACGAATACTTGACCCTGCGCGGGCGTGAGGACAAGTCCTTGTGCATCGCTGCGCGCGCAAATCTGTGTTACGAAATGCGGCTGCTCCACTGGGAAAGGAGTGTCGACGGCCACTACAGAACAGCAAGAGGGCGCAAGATGGAAGCGTTCTCGAGGATCATGGTGGTTGAGCTCTACTTCGATCAAACCTACGCCCACTTCGGCTCGAAAGTGCGGGTGTGCGCGGTGCACCTCCACCGCGACACGGCGAAAAATTCCAGAGGCTTTAACGAGGCTCACAAGACGTGGTGGCCGAGGTTGGCGACCATCTTGCAGGACAACAGCGTTGACATCCTTTGTGGGGATTTCAACATGGCGCTCGCACAGACGCTGCCGAGTCTTCGGGGTCTAGGCATGCGATTGGAGACGGCAGCAGCGTACTTCTGGCGCGGATTGGACGGCACTCCGTGCTTGGACAGCTGCGGCATCTTCGTTCTCAACAGGCCTGGCGAGTACACCCTGTGCTGGCCGCTGAGCGCCGTGCACGACAGAGGCGAGACGGGGTTGCTCTTCGCACGCAAGTCGGTGATCGGTGAGATCGGGTACCGTAACAGAAGCGAGGCAGAGGCCCCCGCAGCAGCGGGGGCCGCCACCAGCCCATCATCGCAGCCGACGTACTGGCACCACAGCCAGAAACGGAGGCCCTGGGATGCCTTACTCTTGCTACTACCCGAAAAAAGACGCCCGCGAGCACCTCCAGGATTTACTGACTCAGTCAGAGGAATGCCAACGCAAGATCCAAGAGAAGGAGAGTGAGAAACTGAGGCGCGCCGAGGCTGAGGCTATTGGGGACCGCCGCTTCTCCAGTAATCGCGAGGTGACCCTCTTCCGCGCGTTGCAGAAGACGTTCCCGCCAGAGACCGTGGAGGTGGAGGGGCGCTGGCACGGCGGCGCCCACTACCCTCTCCTGTACCAAATGCGCATGGCCAGCGTGCGTTCGCCGGGGAGGAAGCAGGAGAGAGCCAAAGAGAAGAAAGACAGGCGCGCCCAGAAACAGCTGGCAGCTGCGCTCAGGGCGCCGCTGCCGCCCGAGCAGCACGGGCCCGAGCGCCAGGCACCAGAGCAGCACAGCGAGAGGGACGAGCAAGACGAGCGCGCCCAACAGGCGTGGCGCCCACCAAGATGGGCAGACGAAAGCGCGGACGACGGCCGCGACATGCCCGCGGCTGGCGATGGAAGGTCGCGGCGGGGGGTTGAAAGGGGGAGGGGGGGAGAGGGGCGGTGGGGCACGGGGAGGGCAGGAGGGAGGAGAGGGAATGAGGAATAGGCTGAGCAGGACGAGGGATGACATAAGGAAATGAGTGTCGGGAAGGGGCGGGAGTTGACAGGGAGGGGATATAGAAATAATTATTTATCACCCCCCAGGTGGCAGCCGACCCCGCAGTGCCCATCTCCAGGGCCTGCGCCGCTGGAGCAGCGAGGGCAGCGCGGCGCCGCCATCTACATCTCGGACGCGATCGCTGCCCTCGGCCACGAGCCGCCAGAGCCCCCGCAGCAGCGGAGGCCACAAACGCCACGGCAGCAACCAACAGACGAGGAGTGGCGCAGGGATGAGTGGTGGCGCACCAAGGAGGGCGAGGAGCGCGAGTGGCAACAGCCGAGCGGCGAGGCTTCCTCGCTGCAGGACCGCATGGTCGACTCCGCCTGGCGCGACATGCAAGTTGCATTCGGCAGCGACCAACGCCCCAGTGACTGGTGGAGCAGCCACAGTGGGTGGAGTAGCGGCCAGGGGCACTGGGAGGTCGCGACCACGACTTGGAGGTGGGTCGAACCCCCCCCCGAAACCAACCCCTGGGAAAAGCTTTGGTTGAACCGTCGCACAGGAGCCGCCCCTCCGCAGCAGCGGAGGGAGGCCTCATCGGCCGAACGTCGACCCTCCGCAGCAGCGGAGGCCTTGCCAATGCATCGTGAGCGGCGGCGACTCGCGCGCGCCGTCGTGCTCGGCGACCGCTGCCCGAGCGGAGAAGGAAAAAGGAACGGTGCTTTCATCGGTGCTGTCGTTGCCTCCTCTCCTTCATCGTTTTCTTCTCCCTCCCCCTCCAATCCCCCATCCCGCTATCACATTTTATCGTCTCCAATCGTATCGGGAGCTCCCGTGGCAGAAGAGCACCCAGAACGAGGTCCTCCGTGACAGAGGGGGGGGGCATCTCAGACCCCCTCTGTGACAGAGGGGGGGCGTCTCAGACCCCCTCTGTGACAGAGGGGGGGCCAAAAAACAAATGATCACTTTAATGCGGCTTCTGGATTATGTTTTCGATCGGAAGTCCAAGTTCAACTTATGGAAAAAAGGGGCCTCGTTCCTTATTTGGGGTTCCGTAGGTCAAGGCCCCGACTGTAGGCCCATCAAATAATGCTCCGAGGACAGTGCTGGTGGCTTGCACGGCATGTTCTTCGAGCATTTCTGGCAGAGGCCGTCTTGTGTTTTACTACATCGGGTTTGGGTTTTAAGAACACTGCTTTTGCCATTCGAAGACTTGTGGGTTCTAAGAAAATTGCGTGGCAGGCCTGTATGAATGCTGGGACGGCCAGTCCCTGCTCAAACAAGAGGCTATGTGCAGCTTCCGATTTTACGCGTGTGTGTGAATGTGTGTGCGTGTGTTTTGTTTTTCTGCCTCCCCCCTCTGTTAATTAAAGCTGTGCGCGGCCCGCTTAGCTTCGACCGGAAGAGGTGCGCTCTCGACCCGCGGATCAAAAAGGTGTGTGTGTTCTTTGCCACTTCCACTGCCTGTCTTCCCCCGCTTGAGCATCTCTCGTGGGCCTATTTTGTGGCATCTTGAGGTTTTTGTTTGCCGTGTCGGGTGTCCCTGGGGCCGTCTTGGGGCCGAGCTGGGCAGTCGCGGGCCCCTATTGGGGGCCTCTCGGGCCAGTCTAGGCAGCCCCTCGCGCCGTTGTGGGTTTCCAGACGGATATGAAAACCAGGTCAAAAAACCGACGCAACATCATTGATGTTTGCCTCTTGAGGGCCTCTCGGAGGTCCTTCTGGGAACCATCTTTCGGAGTCTTGGACCGCCTTGAGGCCATCTTGAGTGATTTGTTGAGATCATCTGGTCGTTAGGGTTCCTGTGGTGCGTCGTCTCAGAGAGCGGCGTGGGCATCTCGGAGGCGACGGAGGCTGGCCTTGGAGGCTCCAGAGGTCCCGGGGGTGCGTGGAGGCATTTGCCACCCCTCGCCCATCCCCTTGACATCCATTTTGGGCCCTGGGGAAGGGGGGCCGCGGGAGTGGGGCAGCCAACCATCTCACACGCTCGTGCACCCCCGGCAAGTGGGGGTGTCGGTGGATCTGCGCCACAGCGTTTACAGACACTTTCGATTCTCTTTTCGTCTCCATCACCCTCCAGAGGCCAGACTTATCCACTACCCGTGGGATCGGGTACAATTTGCATATGGTTCTCTTTCACCGCTCACTTTGCATATGAATTCCCATGATCCCCGGGACTACCCTGATCGCCCCCCTCACTGTTGTCAAGTGATCCTGAGCGTGCACACTCGTGTATCATAACAAGAAGGTGCCAATCAACACCCACGCGCGCGTCGTCGCGCGCGCATATCAAAGCAATTAGTATTACGCACTACCGTCACCAGCTAGCAGCGTTGGTGCACAAGTGCACGCCCTGCACACATCACTCCAAGCGCCCTCTGCACCGCTTGCTCGATGGAGACTTCAAGAGCACTACCCCACCAGCGAGCCGAGCCTTCTATTACATGTTCCCGCCATGTCAACATGTTCGTCAAACTAATCCACGCGGGCCCGTCGCGCGCGCATGTCGGTATCATTCGAAGCTCCCCTGGGAGTGTTGCCCCTCGCAACGGGAGGTCCGCTTGGTCCTCTTGCACCCTCGTCTTAAGTCAGGCCTGTTCCCTCTACAGTAGGAATATATCAGAAAGAGTGATAGATAGTCTGGGGACGATGTTGGACTATTTTTGACTATTTTGGGGCATTTGTTGATTACTTTTCATTTGTCGTCCAACATCCGCCTGGAAGGGGACATGCCCGACCTAATCCTTGTCCCGTGTCGTCGTCCTCCTGCATTGCTCGTCACCATCCTCGGGCCGCCCGGCAAGGCTGGCGGTCGCCAGGGTACTCGCCTTTGCAAGGCGGCTTCAAGTCAGCCATGGCGACGGCTTCGATTTCAGGCCCGAACTCCACGAGTCCGAACTGACCTCCCCCCCCCCGCCTCCTTCCCCCTCCTCTCGTATGGGTCTTGCCATGGCTCCAGTAGAGCTTTCCTTCGCTCCAGTACGGCATGCAATTTCGAATGTGTTCGCTGCCATCCAACACGTAACCCTGGGAAGCAATCAGTAACCCCCCCTCCCCCCCCCCCCTCATCAGAGGAAATTATAACGCTTCTGGCACCGGGGCCGGGGCGGAAGCGATATCCCCCGCAGTCACCAGAGGTCCGCGGAGGGGAGGTCCCCGGAGGTTCCCAGGAGGCATCCAGAAAACCCTCCACAAGCCTCTGAATGCCCGGTCCCCTTGTAGTCCAGAGCCCAGCGACAAGGCACAACTGCCCAGAGTCGCACACGTGCACCCCCTCCACCCTCCTCGTGCATCGATCCTCCCTCCTCCCCCCTCCCTGGCAGGAGAGCCTCCTTGGCATCCCGACGGCGCGGCTGAGGAGGGGGAGGGGAGGGGGAGAGAGGAGGAGGAGGAGGAGGAGGAGGAGGAGGAGGAGGAGGAGGAGGAGGAGGAGGAGGAGGAGGAGCAAGGAGGAGGAGGAGAGGGAGGAGTGGGAGGATGGCCGCGTGCGACGCACCCCAGGGCTTACAGAAAGGGAGAGAAAGAGAGAGAGAGAGAGAGAGAGAGAGTGAGAGAAAAAGAGAGAGAGAGAGAGAGAGAACGCGACAAAGAGCGAGCAGCAGCACCAGGAGCAGAGGCAGCACGAGGCACACAAGCAGCCGCAGCGCGGGCCCGCGTCGCGGGAGAGGTGCTGGCCGCCGCCGCGCGGGACGCCATGAGCATGGAGTTGCGGAGGGGCCGGGGGCCGGGCCTGTCGGGCGCCATGCTCCTCCGGGGCTCGGCACTGATGATCGTTGTCTTATTCATTGTTCTGCCGATCGACGCGGGCCCTAGCACCTCCTGACACCCCCCATGGAGCAGACCTTGGCAGTGTGTGGCGCCTGCTTCAAGCAGGAGGAGTCTCCCCCATATGACGCATCGTTGCAAGCAGTCGCATCAAGCAGAGGTCCTGAGCCAGACCCCCGCCCCCTCCCTCACGTTTCCGCCCACGGTCGAAACGCCGAATATGAGCACGTTCGCCTGACGAGGGTGAGCCTCAGACATGCTCGCCTCGTAGCAAAAATCGCAAACATCTGGGACGGTTGTTTTTTTGTTTTTTTTTTTTTTGGGGGGGGGGGGGGGGCGTTTTCGGCCTCTTGGGGCTTTTGTTGGGCCCCGGGACCATCAAAAGACGACTCGGGATGAAAAACCGGCCCCAAGGAATGGGTTTGGACTTCTGGGGACTCCGTATGTGATCGTTTTTCGGCGCGGGCCCTCGCACTCTCTCCCCCCCCCCATGAAGTAGATCTTCGCTGTGTTTGGTTTCTGTTTTAAGCAGGTGGAGTCTCCTCCGCAGGCCGCACTGACAGTCGCATTAGCAGGCTTCCGGAGCCAGACCAATGTCGAAACGCCGAATAAGAAAACGGTGAGCCCCAGACGTGCTCGCGTCGTAACAAACGTCTGCGACGGTTGTTTCTGGTGAGGGGGGGCGTTTTCGGCCCCTGGGGGCCTTCGTCGGAGACGACCTGGGACGAAACACCGCCCCCCGGGGAATGTGTTCGGACTTCTGGGGGGCTCCGTTTCGGCATTCAGATCATCGCGTGCCTGGGACCGAGATCAGCGTCGACGGGGTCTGCCGACCCCCTCAAGCTGACCCGGGTCCGGAGCCGCGCGGGGCCGATGTGCTGCCCGGGGTGTCTGGGAGCTGCTTCGAGGACGGGTTTCGCGACATGGCCCCGGCTGGCCCAGGTCGGCGCTGACCCAGCTTCTCGCGCATCCCTGGTGGCTCCTCGCGCGGTTTGTTTTCTGGGCATTCCAGATGGGGTCGGAGTGAATGGGGTCGGAGGATCGCGCCGCATTGCCGATGCATCGACGATGCGGCTCCACCTGGAGCCCGATCTTCTCCACGCCGACGTCGCCGACGCATCGCCGACGTTGCCGATGCATCGGCGATGCATCGGTGAGGCATCGCTGGTGCATCGGCGATGCGGCGGAAGCCCACGACCCCATCCGCTTCCTTGGCATCGCTCGGACGTGTGCATTTTTTTTCGGCGAGAACCATCGAGGACCATCCTGGACCATCGAGCCAACAAAAACACGCACGACACCGAACAATGCACTGGAAATGGGCGTCCGAGCGATGGCAAGCTTCGGCCCCATGCAGGAGGCCTCCATCCTCGTGGGCTCGGGGCGCGTGCACCACGTCCTGGCCCAGAGCGGGCGGTGGGCCGTGGCCACCCGGCGGGTGGAGCCCGACGCGCCAGCCGGCCCCGTGGGGTCCGGACTGCCCCGGGGTACACCTTGGGGGCATTTGTTTGTCCTGGTCGCTGCAGTTTTTCCGCCTGGATCCCATGGTGGGTCTGTTACCCCGCCTGGATCTTGGTGGTCTCCAAACCAGGTGGTGAGACACCCGGTGGTGACCCCGATTCCCCCAAAAAATTATTCTGGGTCACCACTGGGTTTGGGGACACGCGATCGCCACGAGGTTTTGCGTTTCCTGGGCCAGCCAGCGCTCGAAAACCATTACCCAAATCGCCCAAAACTCACCACCGGGTGTTCTCACCACCACGTTTGGGGACCACCAAGGATCCCATGGTGGGTCTGGTACACCCTGGTCAGGGAGCCAGAGACGGGGTAACAGCAGACGGGGTGAAAGGGAACGGCCGGTTCGAGGCACGAAATGGCCCTGCTGTTGCACTGCAGTTTTTTGTGTTGGGCCCTCTGATGCCCGGTCTGTGGGGCTCGTCTGCAGTTTTTTCCGCAGCTAGTTGCCAACGAATTGCAGTGCAGTTTTTTTTGGCGTTGCAAAAAAATGCAGTGCATTTGTTTGTCCTGGTCGTTGCAGTTTTTCCACCTGGATCCCATGGTGGGTCTGTTACCCCGTTTAGGCTTTCCCGGTTTGGTGCTCCCTGACTTGGCTTGCCGCTCGTTTCCAGCGCTTCCTCTCCGGACCGTCGTGGCTCCAGGCCTCCTGAATGGGGTCGGAGTAGATGGGGTCGGAGGATGGCACCGCATCGCCGATGCATCGGCGACGCGGCTCGATGTGGGGCCCGATTTTCTCCACGCCGATGGCGATGGCGCCGATGCCTCGCCGACGTCGCCGATACATCGCCGACGCATTGGCGATGTATCGCCGATGCGGCGCGATCCTCCGACCCCATCTACTCGGACCCCATCGAGGAGGCCTCTAATGGCATATTATGGATTCATCCTGTGTTGCCAGAGGTGCCCCTGGCCGGCCAAGGAGACCCAAGGCCCACTCAGAGAGGCCCAGGGCGGCCTCTAGCCCTCGCGAGGCCCAGTAGGCCCCAGGGGGGGGGCTCCAGAATGGCGTGAAAGGCTGGGTCCCAGTCTTTCAAGTGCGAAACAAAAAGTTTAAAAAAGTTTGAAAAACAGCGCAAGAGTTCAAAACAAGCTCACAGGTTCAAAAAGCCGGAACACGTCGTCGTTGTGCCAGGGGGGCGTCTTGAACTTATGTCGAACTCTGGGTTCTTGGGGGCCTCGAACTCGAAGTTTCGATCTTCCCTCCTTGCCCGAACCCAAGCTCGAACTCAAATTCTGTTCCAGGAAAGACCATCTTTCGGACAGAGGCCTTCCTGGAAGGGAATTCCGGACAAGCCTTCCCAGTGCCTGGAAAGGAGTTCCTTTCCTGGAAAGGAAATGGGGGGAATTCCCAGCCTTTCCTGGAAAGGGATTCCGTTCCAGGAAAGGCTGGGAACTCCCCCCGGCAGCCGAGGACAAAGGCGGGGAGAGCACCTTGGGCCAGAGGGCCACCCCCGGCAGCCTTCCTGGAGAGGTGCGACGCTGCGGCAAAAAGTGCGGCCTCCGAGACCTCACGACCGGGAGCCCCTCTTTCGACCCCTCCTCCTCCTCCTCCTCCTCCTCCTCCTCCTCCTCCTCCTCCTCCTCCTCCTCCTCCTCCCCCTCCTCCTCCTCCTCGTCCTCCTCGGCCTCCTCCTCCTCCTCCTCCTCCTCCTCCCCATCCTGGGCGGGAGGCGCGGCAGTGGCGAAGCGTCCTGGCTAGCCTATAGCCCTACCAGAGAATGTTCTAAGAGCCCTGTGCGGTTCCCACGAAGTGTTCTCAGAACAGCTCTGGCTGGGACTGTCTTGTGTCAACGCATCCGGGTTATGTTCTAAGAACATTGTTTTTGTTCCTGGAACATTTTGGGGTTCTAAGAACATTTCGTGGTATGACTATAGGAATGCCGGGACGGTCGGTCCCTGCTCAAATATTTCTGCGCCATCTTTCGAGCCGGATCGATCTGTGAGGGTCCATGGCCCGAGAACACCCAGTATGAAAAAATGCAGCCCTTGGCTCTCAGGGTCCAGTCCGCGAAGGGTGCTGTCTGGGCCGTGGCGGCCGCGAGGGCGGCGCTCCCAGCGTGCGCGCGGCAGCAGGCGGCGTGCCTCGCCGGCACTGTAATCTCAATTCTTGAATCCCCACCAGGCCCCTGTCTTTGCCAACCCCACGCGCGGCGGTGGTACCTCGCGCTGAGTGGTTCAGCCTTCAGCGTGTCGCTTCGGTGCTACCTGTCTAGTCGGCTTGGTTGGCTGCGCGGACTGGCGCCGACAGGGCGACTCTTCCGTAGCGTTTAATCGAGCATTTTGCTTACTGCATGTGCATACTCGCTTTCTTGCGGATTTTTACTGCAGGTGCATTGCCTGTTGTAGCTAATTAGCTTCGCCTGCTGGCCCAGACGACGCCTACCGCTCCCTGACCGCCGCTTCGGAGCCGCCGACCAAAAATATCCCCACCAGGCACCTGTGCGTCACCGGTTCCGACCCGTTCGTTGGCCGACGCCTGCCTCAACAGCTCTGTAGTAGTGTTCGCTCGCTGCGCGCTGAGTGGATCAGCCTTCAGCGCCGTCGGCCTTTTTTCCACTTCCAGCAGCCGGCCGGCACTCCGGGCTGGTGACAATTGTTTGTTTGTGGTGTTGCTCGGAGCTTGGCGCCGCAAGGGCGACGTTCCGCTGCTTCCGCTCCTCTGTGCGTTCGCTCTTTTGGACCGGGCGGCGCCTAAGTGCGTCTCGGCTCGAACGTGGAGCATTTTGCTCAGTGCGCGTGCACCGCACGCCTTGCGTGGAATTTGCCTGTTCCGTCGTCCCGGACACGCCTGTTGCCGCCAGACCGTCGTCGCGCGGCCGCCGACCAAAAAATATCCCCACCATACCATCCAGAAACGATGCCCATGAGCCATGAGAGCTGACGCGGGGAGAGAGGAAGAGGCACGCGTAGTCAAACAGCGAGGGAGGCCGGCCTGGACGGCGTGTTGGAGCCATCTGGATGATGGCTTTCTGGCGGCCTCCTGCGGAGGCTCCGTGGCCATCTTGAGCCGTCTTGGAGCGGTCTTGGGGCCTGTTGGGGTACCTTGGGGGCCATCTTGGGCCAGCTTGGAATATCTTGAGCCATTTTGAAGGTCTTCTTGGGCTCTCTGGGGCTGCCACTCGGGGGCCTCTTGGGGGCCCCTCGTGTGCTTTTTGGAGGCCTCTGGGGGCCTCTTGGGGCGCTATTTGGGCCCTCTTGGGAGCGTTTTGGGGGCACTTGAGGATCTCTTGGGGCCATCTTGGAGGCGGTCGGTCAAAGGAGGGGGGGTACTCGATTCGCGTCCCCCTCGGGGGCCACGATCTTCGCGAAGGATGGTAGAAGAAATGGCCCTCCTAGGGGCTGACAAGTGAGCCTCTGACACCTCGCGGTCCCCCCATCAAAAAAATAGGGAGGGGAGGAGGAGGGTTCCCCTCCCCGAAAGGGGTGTGGGGTTGTGGAAGGGGAAAGAAACCCTCGTCAGACCACCTGTCGCCCAAAGGGCTGGTGGGATTTATTCATTTTCGGTACTCTTTGGACGGATTTGGGCATTTCGGCGGCATCCTGGGGAGGCTCCGTGGCCATCCATCTCGAGCCGTCTTGGAGTGGTCTTGGGGCATCACGGGGCCATTTTGAGCCAGCCTGGACTATCTTGAGCCATCTTGGAGGTAAGTTTGGGCTCTCAGAAGCTGCTTGGGGGCCATCCGGGGGCCTAGTGGAGACCTTTCAGAGGCCTCTTGGAGCCTTCTTGGGGCCTCTTAGGGCGCTAGGGGAAACCTCTTGGGGGCCTTTGGGGAGCCCTGGAGGGCCTCTTGGGTCGGTCAAAACCGGGGGGGTACTCGATTTAGGTCCCCTCTCGGGGGCCACGATCCTAGTGAGGGGTGGCAGGAAATTGCCCTTCCATGGGCCGAAAAAGGAACCTCCGACGCCTCGCGATCCATCAAAAAAAAACATCAGGGAGGGGCGGGGGAGGGTCCCCCCCCGAAGGGAAGAGGGGTCGCGGAAGAGGAAAGAGACCCTCGTCAGACCACCTGTCGCCCGAAGGGCTGGTGGGATTCCTTGGATGTTCCGTGTTCGAGTCCGCAGTTGTCTGAAAGCCAAGCTCTTCTTGTGCGCTGCCCGTGTAATTCCTCTGGCAACCCTCTTTGCCTGGGCCAGCGTTGTTGTCCGATGTCTCTTTCCCTCAGTTCGCCCTTCGCTGACTCTGACCCCCAGAAGTCCGACCCCTCTCAGCATTGAGTCGGGCATGTCCCTCTGCAAGAGGAATGTTCCCAAACAGCAAAACATAGTTGAGGGACGTTTTTTTGTGTGGTGCAGTTGCTTTTTAACAGTTTCATTTAATCGCTTCGCTCATTCCGCCGGCCCGCATTGTGTCCTCGGCCTTCTGGGGTCCTCGTTGGGGGTTTCTTGGGGGCCTCTGGGGTTTCCGTTGGAGCCTCTCTGGGGTCTCTTGGAGCTCCTCTGGGAGCATCTGGGCGCATCTTGGGGCTTCTGGGAGCCGCTGGGGTGCCGCTTGGGAGCTCCTTGGGGGCCTCGTGCGGCTTCCAGCGCCCCCTCTGCCGGAGGTCCTGCCCGACCGATCCCCGGCAGGGCCAGGAGCCCCCCCCCTGATGGCCCCGCGGGCAGCCCAGGCGACTCCCGCGGCGGCCCCGGGAGGCCTCTCGGCGGAGGGCCCTCCCCCCTCCTCCTCCTCCTCCTCCTTCTCCTCCTCCGCCTCCGCCTCCACCTCCACCTCCTCCTCCTCCTCCTCCTCCTCCCCCTCCTCTCTCCTCCTCCTCCTCCTCCTCCTCCTCCTCCTCCTCCTCCTTCTCCTCCTCCTCCTCCTCCTCCTCCTCCTCCTCCCCCCCTTGGCGCGCCACTCCTCTGGGCCTCGCAGATGGCGCCCGAGCAGAGGGTGATAGCCTTGGTCGAATCGCTTCGCTCAGGCCGCCGGCCCCGGGGACCCTCTCTGGGGCCTCTCAGGGGGGCCTCTTAGGGGGGCCGCTCGGGAGTCTCTTGGGGCTCCTGGGCGGCGCCTTGGGGCCCCCAGGGCCTCTTGGGGGGCTTTGGGGGGCCCGAAAAGATGGTGATAGTTTTATGACTCCTTGCTTTGCCGATCGGCTTGGGCCCTCGCACCCCCCCCCTCCCCCCCCCGTGGAGTAGATCTTGGCTGCTTTTGGCGCCCATTCCGCCGTTCCGAGAAGGTGGAGCCTCCCCCATTGGACGCACTGTTGAAAAACCAGTGGCATTGAGCAGAGGTCTGGAGCCAGACCTCCCCCCCCCTCTCCCTCCCTTCGGTATCGTTTAACCGATCCCCATCCCCATCTCCATCCCTTTCGAGACCCCCACCAAATTGCCACTCCAGTTGGGGATACACCCCTCGAAACCCGAAGAGAACGTCCCATCTCCCCATCCAGGGGGGTAAATCGGCCAGCGGGGCCCAGGCCACGCCGCTGGAAATGGGGATCAGTCAAACGATACTCATCCCTTTCGCCCAATGTCGAAGCGCCGAAGTTAAGAAAACCTTCACGCATGGGCTCGGAGGCATCGAGCCGCCTCGCCGAGGCCTCGGCGGGGTGCGGCTCGCTGCGGAGCGCCCGACGTGCTCCGCGCCGGCGGCGCCGAGGCACATCGCCGAGGCACAGCGCCGATGCGTCGGCGAGGCGCGGCGCGGTCCTGCGACCTCGGCCGGCCTCCGACTCTTCGCGCCGGCCCGACCCCACCCCTCGTGCGTCAAGCAGTGGCGAAGCGTCCTGGCTCGCCTATAGCCCTACCAGACAATGTTCTAAGAACCTTTTGTGGTTCCCACGAAATGTTCTTAGAACATTTCTGGCGGAGTCTGTCCTGGTTTAACGCAGCGGGTCTGTGTCCTAAGAACATTGTTTTTGTGTTTCGAACATTTTGGGTGCCAGGAACATTTCGTGGCAGGACTACAGGAATGCCGGGACGGTCGGTTCCTGCTCAAGTCACCCCTCGTGCGCGCCGCCAGGGGCCCGGGCGGGACGGGCGGCAGCGGGGGGGGGCGGGCGCGGCCGCGCGGGCGAGGCGGCTGCAGACGAGCGGCCAGCGCTTCCTGCGGAACCCCCAGGCGCGCGCGACGCTGCTCTGCGGCTCCCTCGGGGGCTCGTCACCGCCGAGAGCCAGCGATGTTACACACCGCCGCCTTCCCTGGAGGTGCATCCGAAGTTCCTCGGAGGGCGTCTGTGTGAATTTTGAGTGCCCTATCGTGGAGTCTTTTTCCGAGACGCTGGGCCTCGCCCGCCTCGTCGTCCTCCTCTTTTTTGGGTTCGCCCGTCGTTGGAGCTGGCACTCGCAACTCGCCCGCACCACGGACCGAGCCCCTGCTCCCTGCGGGTGAGGGGGAGGCGAGGGGAGGGCGGGGAGTCGGGGGAAAGCGAGGAGTATGGAAGATCGGGGGAGGGAAAGGTACCCATACTGCTACCCTTCCCTCGTTTTCCCGTTTCTTGCCTGCTGGGCGGCCTTCGTCGCCACCGCTGGATGCGCCTCGAAGTCCTGGTCAGACCGCGCCCCTGGAGAGATCAGGGGAGTAATTAGCATGTAGGAATTTATGGGATGCGGAGCCTGCTGGATAAGCAGCTCGGCCTTCTTACCACACAGAGCCGAGAATGGTCGCCACGTCTTCATCGGGCGTCGCAGCAGCTCATGCTCATGGTGCGATGTGGTCGGATCTGATCAAGCACCGGTTCATGCCACTGAGCGCTATCGTCTCCCCTTCAGTGATTTTTCGAAGGGCGACGTGGAGGATAATCAGGGCGAACAGGGAGGTGGAACGTGATGCAGTGGCATGCTGCATCGAAGCCGTCGTGTAAGTCTGCGGTCAGGCAACGGCGTTGCTGTTCTCTGTCGTGTGACTCGTGACTCGTCACCCGCCTCCTTGGCCCACGCTCCAAGCGCGAAGGATGTAACGCCAACCGCGTGCTCTCTCGCTCGCCCCTTCTCGTCATGGCTTTCCTCGTCGTCCTCTGCGTCCTCCCTCCTCCCATGCTTCGACGTTGGGCGAGAGGGGGGGAAGTGAGAAGGAGAAGGCCCTCTCAGAAGGCCGCGGGACTTCTCAGAAACCCTCGCGCGTTCTGAGGAGTGCTCCGTGTCTTCGGGGAAGGCTCAGACAATTTCTTCGCGGGCTGGTGGGCTTCCGAGCTTTTGGGAAGGCCCGCCCCGTCTCACTTCCCCCCTGGCTCGCCGCCGATATCTTTTTTTGTTTTTTCATTCTCATGCCTCATCATCAGCCTCCATCCCCCCCTCCCTCCGCCTGCCCCTCCACCTACCCCTGCCCGTGTGATGAAGAGGATGAGGTGAACGACGACGATGTCCGCCGATCCACGACGATCGGCGCGAACCGAGCTGACGACGACGCGACGGAGTTCGTCGACGCCGAAAGGGCGATCGACGACGACGACGACGGCGACCGAGTTGCTCGATCGACGACGACCGGCGCGAAGGGCGTGAAGCCCTTCCTGAAGCGCGGCGTCATGGCCGCGTTTGGATCGCCGTTCGACGCCGACCGGCCGGAGTGGCTGGAGAAGCTGCGGGCGCCCTTCGCGCCCCCGCCGGCGGCAGGCATCGGACAATCGGCGACGCGAATGGGAGCGACCGCTCGCCGGGGTCACCGTTGGTGCGGGCCCACGGGGGTCCGCCGATCGCCGGGTGCGCTGCGATTGCATCGGCTTCGAGCCTGGGTTTGGGCCCCCTGGTGATGGGCCAGTTTTCTGCCGCCAACACCACAGGTGAGGAGGAGGAGGAGGAGGAGGAGGAGGAGGAGGGGGAGGAGGAGGAGGAGGGGGAGGAGGAGGAGGAGGAGGAGGGGGAGGGGGAGGAGGGGGAGGAGGAGGAGGAGGAGGATGCGGAGGAGGAAGAGGAGGAGGAGGAGGAGGTGGAGTAGGAGGAGGAGGACCTCCCAATCCTGCCGTGTTCCCATCCGGCCTATGGTAGTGGTGGTGGAACATCGGGCCCCTCCGAAGCCTAGAGCTGTAGACCAGAGGTCACTCTTTGCCCGGGGCAACTCTTTCGTGTGTGGCCGAGGGGCGGCCAGGCGACTGTATCTCCGGGGGTTGCTGCAAGTGCCCCGGGCCCCTGGCCCAAGGTGCCTCCAGTGTTCCAGTTTCTCGCTTCATTTTGGAGCCCCTGGGGCCCTCTGAGCCTCGTGATGGCGTGCTCCTGGAGGCCATCGAGGCCTCCCTGGAAATCGTGGGGGGACCACCTTGGGCCGGGGGCACTTCTAGCAACACCCGACTGCGTGAGGATCTCACTGGCGGTGAAGACTTCTGGGATGATGCTCAGAGGTTGACGCGCTCCTCAGAGGGGGGAAAGGTGCCGTTACTACCCTTGCCCCATTTTCGCCTTTGTGGGCCTCCTGGGAGGCCTTCGTCGACACGGCTGGATTCGCCACGACATTCTGGTCAGAGCGAGCCCCCGGAGAAGTCTGGGGTGTAGCGGCATCGGTATCTTTTGGCTTCCCCGGTTCCGTCCTTGGGACACGGTTGCGGCTGCTTCATGGTCAGCTATGCATGACGGGCGCACGCAGAGCAAAGATAGGTTGGACATGCGCATGCAGAGGCAAGAGAGGACATACGCGGTGGATTTGCTGAACTCGATGTGTACACCATGCCACCATGCCGCTCCACCGGACCTAGAGCCAAGGAGTCCGGTGACGGAGTTCCCCCCGCAGACGCTCTGGCGTCCCATAGCTTGGGAACGTGGAGCGTCTATGCATCGAGCTCCTGGGCTGACGAGGCGACTCGGTGGATGTTGCGAGCTCCTTCCACCGGCAAGCAAGGAAGCCAGGAGAGGGAGGAGTGAGGTGGGGAGAAGGGAGGAGAAGAGGAGGGGCAGGAATAGGAGGACGACTGCTTGGTGCCTGCGCGGTGTTCCGCTGTCCAGCGTGAAGCGTTCTCAGAGATTTATCAAGTGCCATATGTGCATGTCTTCGGTCAGCGAGCCGCAGCCATGACTACCTCTCTGGCAAACATCTAGAGCGCAACACACCACGTGGCTTTGAACGCAGCAGTGTCCATGTCATCCTCGTCTCATCCCAGACTGGTGGCCTCATGAACATCTAATGGCCTTCAGCCCATCCCGCCACCGCACCTGGGTTGTGGGTATGAAGCCTATTGGATGTTCGTTGGGATCTCGTGGGAGGTCTCTTGGAGGAAGTTTGGAGGCCTCTTGGGGGCCGTTTGGGTGCCTCTTGGGGCCTCTTTTGGACTTGTTAGGGGGCCTCCTGGGCGCCTCTTGGGGCCTCTTTGGGCCTTCTTTGGGCGGAAGGCTCGGATGTTACGTTTTGTTCCTTCTCTTCGGCCCCGTTGAGCCCCTTTTGAAACCATTCTGGGGCCCTCTTGGGCCGTCTCGGGCGCCTCTTGGGCCGTCTTGGGTCCCTCTTGTGCCGTCTTGGGGGCGTCTTGGCGGCCTCTTGGGCCGTCTTGGGGCGGTCTTGGTACCTCTCCGCCTTCTCGTCACGATTAGATGATATGACGATGTGATGCCCTTTACTTCCTCCCTCCTCCTCCCTGTCTGTCCACTATAACCTGCTGTTCGACTATTTAGTTATTCTCCCCCAGGGCTGGCAAGACGACCAGCCCAGGGGGAAGCGGCAGCGTGCGGAGCACTTTCACGACATCAGGAAACAGGACACAGGAGGAGCAGGAGGAGGAGGAAGAGGAGGAAGAGCAGGATGAGGAGCAGGAGGAGCAAGAGGAGGAGGGCGAGGAGAAGGAAGAAGGGGAGGAGGCTGAGGAGGCGGAGGAGATGGAGGAGGAGGAGGAGGAGGAGGAGGAGGAGGAGAAAGAGGAGGAGGACGAGGAGGAGGAGGAGCAGGAGGAGAAGGATGAGGGGCAGGAGGAGCAGGAGGAGGAGGGGGAGGAGGAGGAAGGAGGAGGAGGAGAGATGGAGGAGGAGGAGGAGGAGGGAGGAGGGGAGGAGGAGGAGGAACAGGAGGAGGAGGAGGAACAGGAGGAGAAGGAGGAGAAGGAGGAGCAGCAGGAGGAGGAGGAGGGGGAGGGGGAGGAGCAGGAGGAGGGGGAGGAGGAGGAGGAGGAGGAGGAGGAGGAGGAGGAAGAGGAGGAGGAGGAGGTGGAGGAAGAGGCGGAGGAGGAGGAGGAGGAGGAGGAGGAGAAAGTGTAGGACCCCCCTGTCCTCTGGTCGCCACCGCAGGCGGGCGGCAACCACGCGCCGCCGAGGAGAAGAAGGGCGGGGGAGGGTCAGCCCATACCGCTACCCTTCGCCCGTGTTCCCCGTGTGAGGTCTCTTGGGAGGCCCACGTGGCCACCGCTGGAGCCGCCTCGAAGTTGTGGTCAGGAAGCACCCCCAGAGAGGTCCAGGGAGCAGCGGTATCGGTACCTTTTGGCTTCCCCAGAGAAGCTCGCACGGGGAAGGTTAGAGCTTTGAAATCGGTGCACCAGGGCATCGGCGCCGCATCCAAGGTGTCCGTGTGGGCCCCCTTCCCCGCCCATTGGTTCTGTCGTTTCGGGCCTGTCCTTCGAAGAAGGATTGCGTCCGCAGGGTTTCCAGAGGCCCCAGAGTCCCCAAAGGAAGAGTGGCTCGGGGCGCCCGCGGCTGCTCTGTCCTCGGCACGGTGGCCGATCGGGGAGGGGCGCGGATGAGGAGGAGGATGAGGAGGAGGAGGAGGAGGAGGAGGATGAAAAGGATGAGAAAGAAGCAGAGAAATAATCAGAGGAAGAGGAGGAGGAGGAGGAGGAGGAGGAGGCGAGGAGGAGGAGGAAGAGGAGGAGGAGGACAACGACGAGGATGAGGAGGAGGAGGAAGAGGATGAGGAGGATGAGGATGAGGAGGAGGAGGAGGAGATGGAAACGGAGAGGGAGGACGCGGACATGAAGGAGACGAGGAGGGGAGAGGAAGGAAGCGAGGCGGAGAGGACGACGACGAGGGGCTCGGGGGTGCCCGTTGCTGCTATAGGGGGCTGATGGGGGGATGGGCGCGGAGGAGGAGGAGGAGGAGGAGGAGGAGGAGGAGGGGGAGGGTGAGAAGGAGATGGAGACGGATCAGGCGGAGGTTGAGGAGGGGAAGAAGAGGGGGCAGAGAGGAGAACGACGAGGGGCTCGGGGGTGCCCGTGGCCGTTCCAGCCTCTGGCACAGGGGGGCTGAGGGGGAGGGGTTCGAAAGAGGAGGATCGTGGGCGGCCAAGAGGGCGGCGATGACTGGTGGGGGGGCTGGATATCGCGGCTGGAGCCATGATATCTACCTGGGTCTCGTGGCCCCCTTCTCTCAGTTCGCCTCCCGCTTCCCCCCTTGTCCGCGCACATGCCTCGGACCATGAGTTGCGACCCCCCCCCTCTCTTGGAGGCTCCGATGTGGGACACCCCCGAGACAGGGAAAACCGTTGCCGTTCTGGCCTCGGCAAGGGGGAGGGGCGCCACAATCACCATGATGGAAACGTGTGTTGAGGAAGATGTGTCTTTGAGGTTTGTCGCCATCTTCTGGCTCTATCGGGGCCCTCCACTGGCCCCGGGACTGTCCCCAAAACTGCTCAAGTGGAAGATCTTGTCCTGGGGGCATGCCGTGAGTCCCATGGCCTGGTCCCTCAGGACTCGTTCCTTTCATGCGGGGCCACGGAGGAGGGTGAGGAGAAGATGGAGACGGGAGGCTACGAGCGGCGTTCTTGTCCAGTCACCAGAAGCCAGGAATCCAGATAGAGATGGAGGAGATGCAGATTGAGGAGAAGGAACACCGGGGTGGGCGTGAGCGGGAGATCCCCTTGCTGATGAGGGCGCCCCGACGCCCCGCCCCGCTCCTCCCCATCCTCCCCGGCGCCCTCCCGCTCCGCGTGCCGGTGCATCGTCCCAGAGGGTCTCGGGGCGCTGCTCACAGCAGCCTGACCTCGGCCAGTCTCGTGTCGTGCGGGGCACGCGGCTGCGCGTCACTGAGACGATGTGTGTCAGGAGGGAACAAAAAACACAGACACAATTCATCGTCGACTCCCCAGAAGATGTAGGAAAATATGGGAAGTGGGGGTGGGGAAGACAAACACCCAAAACATATGGGAAAACATGGGGAATCGTTTTATTTCTGTGGATTTATTTCTGTGTCCCAGGGCCCCTTCAATTGAGACGGTGTGTGAGCACAGCACTCGCCGGGGCAGTCGGAGGACGTGGCTCTGCTGGCGTGCGCGTCGTAGGCTGCACGCCTCCGCGGCCGCCCCCCGCAGGCGCTGGGGCTGACGCAGGACCTCCCCTCGGCCTCCGAGGAGCGGGTGCCGAACAGGCCCGCCGTGCTCTGGCGCTTCCCTCGAAGAAGCCAGCGCGGGGGCGGGGACTCTCGTCGAAGACCGATTTCTGACCACATCCACCTCTGGACCTCGGGGGTGGAAGTGGGTAGTTTTTCCTTCCCCTGGGGCGGGGAAGCTGCCCACCTCCACCTCTGGAAACCGCTTTTCGCAAGGCACCTCGGGAAGTGGGTGTGGTCCGAAATCGGTCTCCTATCTCGGGCCGGACGACAGGGGGGGGATTGGGAAAGGAGGGGTTCCGAAATCTGCTGCACGCAGCTGGTCTCGGCCCCAACGAGGGGCCCCTTCCTCGATACCTAGCCGCCCCCGGCACGGGAGGCGGCGGGAAAGTCAGCTACGTGAGATGGTTCTCTTTTCCCCCCCCTCTGCTGTCCCCCCCTTTCGCCGGGCCTGAGAGTCGCAGTGCTTCGCCGAAGGCCGTTGCTATCTCGGCTCTGGCCAACGCCTCCGTCATCTCCACGGTGGCCGAACTCTCTTTTCTACGAAAGAAGGTAGGGTCTACCACCCTCCCCCCCCCAGACTTCTCGATTCCCCCGGAACCGATGTAAAATACGTATGATTCTGACCCAATGTCAATCCTACATTTGAACTTCTGCTATCCCAGCCAGGCCGGTATCGGTCCCCCCTCGGTTCCCTGGCAACAGATACCATACGGTGGCATCTTTGGTTGTAATAAAAAACTGTTTCACGAATCCCTTGTAAAAAAACAAAAACATGCGGGGCACACGCGCGCGGCCGCTGCGCGCGCATGTCGAAATCTTTCCAAACACATTGTGCTTTCAACAATTTCAACATCCCGCTTCAAGAACACCAATGAGAACATACGATTTTCTTACCCACATTCCGAAACATCTGCCCGCGCGCTCTTGCCGAATCCTTCCAGAACCAATTGTTTTGTCAACAATCCTGTCAAATCAGGCTTCTTGGGTAACTTTTGCGGGCACGTCGATGTCATTTTGAACAACGCTCGCGCGCCTGCCAGGGCCACAATCCCTTGTAAAAGATACCATGCGGGGCACATGCGCGGGGCAGCCGCGCGCGCAGGTCGAAATCCTTCCAAACACATTGTGTTTTCATATGTTTCAAGACCGAGCTTCATGACATCACACGAATCGTACTATACATCCTCGAAACAAATCTACAACACATATCATAATGTTTACCCGCGCGCTTTCCGAATCTCGAAGAACCAATAGTTGTTCAACATGTCTGTCACGCGAGCAACTTATGCGCGCGCGTCGAACGCCTTCAACATCGGCTGCCAGGGCTACAATCCCTAGTAAAAAACACCATGCGGGGCACATGCGCGCGGCCGCCGCGCGTGGATGCCGACATCCTTCTCGTCGTCGTCGTCGTCGTCGTAGGCGCCGTCGCCGTCGTCGTCGTCTTCGTCGTTGTTGGCGTCGTCGTTGCTGTCGTCGTCGTCGTTCCCGTCGTCGTCCTCCCTCCTCCCCCGTCGTCGTCGGTGTCGTCGGCGTCCAGAAGCTCTCGACTCACGTCTTGTTCGCCAGAGCTCGCCACCCCCTCGTCGTCGTTTGTCGTCGTCCGTCGTCGTCGTCGTCGTCCCTCCTCCCTCGTCGCCGTCGTCGTCGTCGTCGTCGTCTTCGTCGTCGCCCTGCTCCTCCCTCGTCGTCGTCGTAGTCGTCGGCGTCGCCGTCCTCCCTCCATCCTCGTCATGGCCGTCGTCGTCGTTCGTCGTCCTCTTCGTCGTCGCCGTGCGTCGTCCGTCGTCCGTCGTCGTCGTCGCCGTCGTCGTCGTCATTCTCCTTCCTCTCTCGTCGCCGTTGTCGTCGTCGTCGTCGTCGTCGTGTGCTATCCTCGTCGTCGTCGTCGTCGGTGTCGTCGTCGTCGTCGTTGTCGTGATCGTCGAAGTCGTCGGAGTCGTCGTCGGTGTCGCCGTAGTCGTCGTCGGCGTCGTCGTCGTTGTTGTCGCTGTCGTCGTCGGCGTCGGTGTCGTTTCCAACTGCTATTTGGTACCTACCGTCACGGTCTTGAGAGGTCTTACGACCAAGTTGCGGGTGGGAGGGTGGGATGTTTGCACGAGCAGTGGATAGGACAGCTTCAAGACAGTCAAAGTGTATTCACCCTTAGGTGGGACCAACAAAGCAATGGACGAACAAAGCAATGTTGTGTTTACTGCGGCTTCGTGCATTCAACTCAGCACTGCGATCGGATCTACCCGTCGTCAGAGCGTTGTACTCGTTTTCGTGTTTGTTGTTGCTTTTGCGGCTGCTGCTGTTATTGTTGTTGGTGTTGTTGTCGTTCGGACTATTTGTATTTATCTTTATTATTGTTATTGTCGTTCTTGTTGGTGGTGGTGCTGTTGTTGCTGTCGAATACTCATGATACCGGAGAAAGCCCCCAATCAGGGCTATATGGCTAGGGGGCTATAGGGCTATTGAGCTATGGGGCTATAGAGCTATAGGGCTATAGAGCTGTAGGGCTATAGGGCTATTGGGCTATAGGGCACTCCTGGGCACCCCCGGGCACCCCCGGGCACCGGGACATCCCTGGGCACGCCCGGGCACCCAGGCACCCGGGCACCCGGGCACCCCTGGGCATCCCCGGGCTCCCCCGGGCACCTGGGCATCCGGGCGTGCGGCGAAAATCGGCGGCAAACCAAACCTAACCATATGAATCCACTAGGACCCCTACAGAGGCAAGCTCTGATTGGGGAATTTCTGAAGAAGAATAGTTATTGTTGATCTTCGGAAACAGTTACGGGTGGGACGGCGACAAACAACAAGCAACAAACAACAACGACACAAATTTCAACAACCTCAATGGCATCAACCACAAACTTCACAACAACCACAACATCATCATCAACACCACTAACAATTACACCAACATCAACACACGTCCAACACCACCTATTTGTAAGACCGCTCGCTCTTTTCCTGCCCGCGTGCCATTCAACACGTATGTCCGAAACCCTCGATGCCCGCCCTCTTCGTCTTCGATCGTACCCGCTTGTGGGTATCTCTTTCTGTTACCTGCTACGTGAATTTTCATGCAGCCCCTGAGGCAGGGGAAGAGAGGACGAATGGAAGGAAGGGGCAAGGGGGAAGGGGGGAAGGGGTAGGGTGGAACACCAGAGAACGTAGCAGGAGGGGGGCTCGGAACAGAAAACACATGGCGGAACCAGACGGGCAGATCGGGCGGGTAGACCCGAACGGGCGGGTTGGAAGGCGGGCCCAGGCGGCCAGGTCGAGCAGGCGGGCTGCTAAAGCGTGCGTGCTGCATGAACCGCGAGGAAGTCTCGAGCGGCAGCGCGATTCCCAAGTAAGTGATTCCTGAGTGTTGAGGGCGCGGCGTATGAATAACTTGCGAGGAAGTCCCACGCGAGAGCGCGATTCCGGCATACATTATGAGGAGGTCCCACGCGAGAGCGCGACTTGGGAATCAATTGTGAGGAGGTATTTGGCGGGAGCCGTTGTTGTTGAACTTTCACTATTGAAGAGTGAGTATTGGTGATCCCCCCTCTGGTGACCATTGTACCTTGAGACGGTCCCCGCGTTCCCTCCCTCCATCCTTCCTTTCTTCCTTCCTCCTCCCTCCTCCTCCTCCTCCTCCTCCTCCTCCATCTCCTCCTCCCCCTCCTCCCTCCTCCCTGCGTTTCAACCGCCCACTACAGCGTTTCGTGGGCCCATGGGGAGCTCCACCAAAGGCCCGAGTACCACCGCCCGCACGCGTCAGCCACATCCAATTCGGCACACTGCTCACACGCGTCGTGGCCCCATCGGGAGCTCCACCGCAGGCCCCAGTGCCACCGCCCGCATGCGTCAGCCACACCCACTTTGGCACACCCCTCACACGCGTCATGGCCCCATAGGGAGCTCCACTGGAGGCCCCAGTGCCACCGCCTGCGTGCGTCAGCCACATCACTTCGGCACACCCCTCCCACGTCTCGTTCCCCCATAGGGAGATCCACCGCAGGCCCCAGTGCCACCGCCCACATGTGTCAGCCACGCCCTATTCGGCACACCCCTCACACGTGTCGTGGCCCCATCGGGAGCTCCACCGCAGGCCCCACCCTCGTGCGTCAGCTTCACCCAATCCGCACACTCTTCTCACGTTTCGTGGCTCCATAGGGAGCTCCACCGAAGGCCCCAGTGCCACCGCCCGCGTGCGTCAGCCACACCCACTCCGGCACACCCCTCACACGTTTCGTGGCCCCATAGGGAGCTCCACCGCAGGCCCTTTTGCCACCGCCCGCATGCGTAAGCCACGCCGATTCCGGCACACCCCTCACACGTGTCGTGGTCCCATAGAGAGGTCCACCCAGTGCCCCAGTGCCACCGCCCGCATGCGTCAGCCACACCCATGTCTGCACACCCCTCTCACGTTTCGTGGCCCCATAGGGAGCTCCACCGCAGGCCCCAGTGCCACCGCCCGCATGCGTCAGCCACACCCACTCAGGCACACTCCTCTCACGTTTCGTGGCCCCATAGGGAGCTCCACCGCAGGCCCCAGTGCCACCGCCCGCATGCGTTAGCCACACCCACTTCGGCACACTCCTCACACGTGTCGTGGTCCCATAGGGAGCTCCACCGCAGGCCCCAGTGCCACCGCCCGCTGCGTAAGCCACGCCGATTCCGGCACACCCCTCACACGTGTCGTGGTCCCATAGAGAGCTCCACCGAAGGCCCCAGTGCCACCGCCCGCATGCGTCAGCCACACCCATGTCGGCACACCCCTCACAAGTTTCGTGGCCCCACATGGAGCTCCACCGAATGCCCCAGCACCACCGCCCGCGTGCGTCAGCCACACCCACTCCGGCACACCCTCACACGTTTCGTGGCCCCATAGGGAGCTCCACCGCAGGCCCCAGTGCCACCGCCCGCATGCGTCAGCCACACCCACTCAGGCACACCCCTCACACGCGTCGTGGCCCCATCGGGAGCTCCACCGAAGGCCCAAGTGCCACCGCCCGCGTGCGTCAGCCACATGCCCTGCGGCACACCCCTCACACGTTTCGTGGCCCCATAGGGAGCGCTACCGAAGACGAGATTCACAATTGCGGTACTCACAACTGCATATGGTTGGGTTCTTCGCCTCTCTAATTCTTCACGCTTCGGGTATCCCCACCAGACCATTTAGAAACCCTGCCCTTCAGAGCTGACGGGAAAAGGGATGAAGAGAGACATCCGGGGAAACAAAGTGTGCAAGGGGGTGGCCTTGGAAGGCCTCTTCGGGCCATCCCTGGGTGCCGCGTGGGGGCGAGGGGAAGAGGAGGAGGAGGAGGAGGAGGAGGAGGAGGACGAGGACGCGGATGAGGACGAGGACGAGGAGGACGAGTATTAGGATGAGGATGACGCGGACGAGGACTCATGGAACCATCTAGAGATATTATTGCGGCTGTTGCTGCTGCTGGTGCTCTCTGGGGGTTTGGGGGGCACTCTTGGAACCCTCTTGGTAACCCTGGAAGGCTTCTTGGGATCATCTTGGAGGCCATCGATTACAGGATGGGGGGTCCCCAACTCAGCTCCCCCTTCAGGAGCCGACAAATCGCTTCTTGGGGCTCTCGTGGAACGCTCTTGGGCGCTCTTGGAGCGGTCTAGGTTGGGGCCGTTTGGAGCATCTTGGGAGCCATCTTGAGCCAGCTTGGGCTGTCTGAGCCATCTTGGAGGTCATCTTGCGCTTTCTGAGACCGCTCGGGGGCCTCTTGGGAGCCTCTCGGGCGCCTCTTGGGGCCATCTTGGGACCCTCTTGGAGCCCTCTTGGGGCTCTCTTAGGGCTCTGTTGGGAACCCTGGAGCGCCTCTTTGGGCCATCTTCGAGGCTATCGATCAAAGGAGGGAGGGTCCCGATCGAGGCCCCCCCTCGGGGGCCACGATCCGCGTGAGAGGTGTCAGAAATTGGCCTTCGCAGGGGCCGAAAAAGGAGCCTCCAACCGATCGCGGCCCCTCCCGTCCAGATCCAGGGGAGGGGGTAGGGGGAGGGGTAAGTCCCTCCCCGAAGGGGAAGAAGGGTTTTTGAAAGAGGAAAGAAACATATCGTTAGACCACCTGCGCCCAGAGGGCTGGTGGGATTCGATTGAGGTGCGTTCCCTGGGGCTCGCACTTCTTCATAAGGGAAAGTCGCTAGGCTCAAACTGGGTCGGTGCCCCCCCAGTTTGCATCAACAGCAGGTCCCGCCCGATATTTCCTCATAATTGCTATCATACCTACGGGTGGCACTATTTCGACCGGCCGACCGTGCCTGGGACGTGTGCTGGACTGGGATGTGTGCTGGGACATGTGTTGGGACGTGTGCTGCCTTCGAGTGCTGGGATGTGTGCGGGTCTGTGCTGCCTCCGTGTGCTGGGATACGTGCTGGGATGTGTGCTGTCCGGCCGTGCCCTCCCGTCCCCCTGCTCCCCCCCCGCACCCCTCCGCTTCGTGGCCCCCGTCTGTTTCTTCCGACCGACCGACTGGGCCCCCCCACCCATTCTCTGCCCGACCATGCTCTGCCGTCTCCGCCCCGTGGCCCACATCTGCTTATTCCGACCGACCGACCGTGGCCCCCCCCCTCTTCCCGACCGTGCCCTCCCGTCCCCCTGTTCCCCCCACCTCACCCCTCCGCCCCGTGGCCCCCGTCTGCTCATTCCGACCAACCGACTGTGCACCCCCACCCTCTCTGCCCGACCGTGCCCTCCCATCCCCCTGCTCCCCCCCCCGCACCACTCCGCCCCGTGTGCCGCGTCTGTTTATCCCGACCGACCGACCGTGCCCCCCTCTCTGCCCGACCGTGACATCCCGTCCCCCTGCTCCCCTTCCCCCCTGTGGCCTGCCGCCTGTGTATTCCGACCGACCGACCATGCCCCTCCCACACCTTCCGGCCCGTGCCCCCTCTTTTGCGCCCGTATTTGTATGATCCTTGGTGCGCGTGCTGTTTGTTCAAAAAAAAAAAAACGCTCTCGCGCGGGACCCCCTCACAAAGTGTAAAGGAATCGCGCTCTCGCGTGGGGCCTCCTCGCAGTTTATTCGGACGATGCGCCCTCGGCGCTCAGGAATCACGCTCTCGCTTTTTGGCTTTTCTCGCGGTTCACGTTGGAGTCGCGTCATCGCTCGAGACTTCCTTGCGACTCACGCAGGGCCCGCGCTTCAGCAGCCCACCTGCTCCACCCGGCCGCCCGAGCCCGCCTGCCCGACCTGCCCGCACCCGATCTCCCCGTCTGGTTCTGCCACTCGTTTCCTGCCACTCGTTTCTGTTCGGTGGCTGGGGCTGCGGCTTGCGCATGACATGCACTGCGACTCGATAGTGGTTGGTCGGTTGGGGCTGGTTGGTGGATGCATTGTCTTGCATTGTCTTCTCGGCGTCAGTGCCAAAGCGTCGACGGTCGGCAAGGCATCTCCGAACAATAGTGTTTTGCTCGAACTCGTTGAGCAAGCAAGGGTACAGCCAAGGTTGCAGGGTCTTGGCCGAGCAAAAAACAGCATCGCCAGAGCGTGGGTGTTGCCAATTCCCTGCCCCTCTCCTGCACATTTCTCTCGGGCTTCATTCTTCTCCTTTCCCCTTCCACCCGTCCTCTCCTTCCTTGCTCTAAGGGCTGCATTACATGCACGTGGCAGGTAAGGAAGGTATACCCCCGAGGGGGTGCGATCGAAGACGACGAGGACTGGTGCCGAGGATTCGGGACATACGTATTGATTGGCACATGGGCAGATAGGAGCGAACAGACCGAATTTTATGGTTGTGGAGTACTCATTCCTAGAGAAAAATGATTGCGGATCTCCGGAAACGGTTTCGCGCGCTCTCGCCCCGTCGCCGACCACGTTTTCTTTGAGAACGAGGCTCCCGCGCGAGCGTTGGCTTGAGTCTAGACGTGGGCCCGTGGAAGCCCAGCTACGACGACAACGGCTCCCGCTGGATACCTCCTCACAATTTACCCCGATACGCCCTGTCCAGAGAGGAACCCGATCTCAGGAACGGCGCTCTAGCTCGAGACTTTTTCGGAAGTCAGGCAAGTTGGTGGAGGCCCAGCCACGACGACAAGGGCTCCTGCTCGATACTTCCTCACGGTTTACTTCGAGAGCCCTTGGCCAGGAAGGCCCCCGAACTCAGGAACGGCGCTCTCGCTCGAGATTTGTTCGTAAGTCAGGCAAGTTGGTGGAGGCCCAGACACGGCGACAAGGGTTCCCGTTCGATATTTCCCAATAAGTATTCCGAGAGCTCCTGGACAGGAAGGCCCCCGAACTCAGGAACGGCGCTCTCGCTCGAGACTTCCTCGCATTTCAGTCAGTGGCCGACAAAGAAGATATTTTCCTCGAAAGGGGGTGCAATCGAAGACGAAGTGGGCGGGTATCGAGGGTCGAGGTATACAGAATGCAAGACACGATTGCCAGTAAGAGCGAACAGTCTTAACATGATTGTTGTTGTTGATGTTCTTGCTACCGCTGTAAACCGGGGGGCGAAGACATCGGTTTGGTAACACCTCACTTGCTTCTGTACAAACTGGTGCGAGACCTGAGAGAAACATTTCGATTCAATAAATAGAATGGTTAGCGGAGGGGGACCAGCAATACTATTTCTTAGAAAAGAGAGTGCAACAACAGCAAATCCCAACAACCCGCACTGCGGAACCTCTCTTCAGCCACGCGCCCAAGGACGGCGAATGGCCGTTCGGCACCCTCACTCGGATACACGCACACAAGTATACCACCCGCCCGCCCTGAATTCGCGGTTCGTGAGCGTATGTGTGTATGTGTGTGTGTGTGTTTGAGTGAGCGGTAATGTGTTTAACGTGTGCGCGTGTGCGCGTGTGCTTTTTTTTTTCATGCTCTCTCTCTCTATATATATGTGTATGTATGCGCGTGTTCCTGTGAGGATGTGCGTGGGTGTATGTTGCGCGTATGTGTGTATACGTAATTGTTTATGTGTGTGTGTGTGTCTGGTTTGCAATGTTCTGCGGTATGTGACTTTTGCCGAGGCAGTATTGGAGTCTCGCCCCATATTTGATCTCCTCGTTTTCTCAGCAAGTCTCCTAGAAGATGCATCGTCTTTATTGCCTGCTTGCGGGCGGTGCTTCTTTGCCGCCCCCCGCGAGTTGGCACGGCGACGAGTACGAGCCCAGTGACAAAGAGAAGGTTCTTTGTTCGCCGCCAGCCGCTGGGAGGAGCTGATCAGACGGGTAAAGGTGTAATTCTGAGTTGGATCCAGGGCAGCCGAGATTGCCGAATAGGAGATGTTGTTCCCAACCATCCTGTGGTGTTGGGTCCTCGTTTTGAAGACACGGTCCCCGCGTTTTTTCGTTTCTTTTTCCTCCCCCTCCTCCCTCCTCCCGCCCCCCCCTCACTAGCACACCCCTCACACGCTTCGTGGCCCCATCGGGAGCTCCACCCAAAGTCCCAGTGGCACCGTCCACATGCGTCCGCCACACCTATTTCGGCACACCATTTGAACGCTTCGTGGCCCCATAGGGAGCTCCACCCAAGGGCCCAGCGCAACCGTCCACATGCGTCCGCCACACCGATTTTGGCACACCCCTTACACGTTTTGTGGCCTCATAGGGAGCTCCACCGACGGCCCCAGAGGCACCGTCCACATGCGTCCGCCATACCCATGTCAGCACACCCCTCACACGTTTCGTGGCCCCGTAGGGAGCTCCACAGAAGGCCCCAGTGGCACCGTCCACATGCGTCCGCCACACCCATGTCGGCACACCCCTCTCACGCTTCGTGGCCCCACGGGCAGCTCCACCCATGTCGCCAGTGCCACCGCCCGCGCGCGTCAGCCACATCCACCGCGGCACACCACTTACACGTTTCGTGGCCCCATAGGGAGCTCCACCGAAGGCCACAGAGGCACCGTCCACATGCGTCCGCCACAGCCATTCCGGCACACCTCTCCCACGTCTCGTGCCCTTATAGGGAGCTCCACCGAAGGCCCCAGTGGCACCGTCCACGTGCGTCCGCCACACGTAGTTCGGCACACCCTGTGAACGCTTCGTGGCCCCATAGCGAACTGCACCGAAGGCCCAAGTGGCACCGTTCACATGCGTCCGCCACACCCATGTCGACACACCCCTCCCACGTCTCGTGCCCACATAGGGAGCTCCACCGAAGGGCCCAGCGCACCGTCCACGTTCGTCCGCCACACGTATTCTGGCACACCCATCACACGTTTCGTGGCCCTACAGGGAACTCCACCGAAGGCCCCAGAGGCACCGTCCACATGCATGCGTCCGCCACATGGATTTCGGCACACTCCTCGCATGTATCGTGGCCCCATAGGGAGCTCCACCCAAGGCCCCAGCGCAACCGTCCACATGCGTCCGCCACACCCATTTCGGCACACCCTTTGAACGCTTCGTGGCCACATAGGGAGCTCCACCGAAGGCCCCAGTAGCACCGTCCACATGCGTCCGCCACACACATTTCGGCACACCCCTCTCACGGTTCGTGGCCCCGCAGGGGGCTCCACCGAAGGCCCCAGTGGCACCGTCCACGTGCGTCCGCCACACGTCGTTCGGCACACCCTTTGAACGTTTCGTGGCCCCATAGGGAGCTCCACCGAAGGCGCCAGTGCCACCGTCCACATGCGTCCACTCCACTTAGTTTGGCATATTCTTCACACATTTCGTGGCCCCATAGGGAGCTCCACCGAAGATGAGATTCACAGCTGCGTTATTCACAACTGCATAGTTGGGTCATTCGCCAGGCTATTTTGATGCGGCGCTCAGGGTCTTACACCTGACGATCGACGGTATGCATGGCACCGTTCTCAAACCCATACCTATTGTATGAACAGTGCCATCAGCCGCAGAGTGGGTCACCCCTCGTTCCAAAACGACAACTCACCTTGCCCTCGCATGTGCGCATAGCGTGTCCGAGTCTTCGAGCTGCATCTGTGTACGAGTATCTTCTGGTCAGACTGTAAGGGTAATCATATACGTCGCTTCACGCCTGTTTGCATCCACTTATTTTGTAGGTCTTGAGCCATGGTGGTTGCAACATCGATTCTTATCACATCGAATGGAGGGAGATATGCAACAGAGGCTTTCCTGGCCGACGAGAAGAATTTGCGCAAGGCTACGGTTCGTATCGAAGAGGCCGCCGCTTTTGTAGCGCTCCCCTTGACCATCCCTTCATCATGCCGTCATGCCGCCGCCCGCTTTCGCGGAGTGCGAGTATTGCACCGTGTGCCTTCTCAGTAAGCCCGCTTGCCCGCCAGGTGCCCGGGCGCGGGTGACCCCTTACCTGCAATGCAGCATCCCTTCCCCATCCCCCCCGCCCCCTGTTTCTAGATGAGCAAGAAGTCATCGTAACGATACGTGATTGCCATTCCGTGCGTCACCGCGCGACAATCTGGAGTTCTTCGACCGTCTTCTGAACGAATCGCCGCATCATGGCATCATGCTCGGCTTATTCCCCCTCCCGCCCCCTCCTTTGATGGGCCTGTTTTCCACCACCACCACCATAAGTTGGACGGGGGCAGGAGGAGGAGGAGGAGGAGGACGAGGACGAGGAGGAGGAGGAGGAGGAGGACGAGGAGGAGGAGGAGAGAGGAGGAGGAGGACCCCTTCCCCCTCCAACGTATGGTGGTGGTGGTGGAGAACAGGCCCGTCATCCGTCCTCCACGTCCTCCCTCTCGCAAGGTCAGTTTCCCAGCTAGGCAGGCCCTCCCAGGACGAGCCTGGCGGCCAGGGTGGAACGAGAGGTTGCGGTGCCTTCGGCCCAGGCGTCGGCCAGCCGCTCGGAAGGCCAACGCCCCACCCTCCTCCATCCCCCTCTTTCCCCGCACGCCGTGCTGCGCAGGTGCACTCAATGCTCCCCCCCCCTCCTCCTCCCTCCCTCCCTCCCTCCCTCCCTCCCTCCCTCCCTCCCTCCTCCCTCCCTCCCTCCCTCCCTCCCTCCCTCCCTTTCCTCCCTCCTCCTCCTCCTCCTCCTCCTCCTCCTCCTCCTCCTCCTCCTCTCCCCTCCTTCCTCCTCCTCCTCCTCCTCTCCTCCTCCTCCTCCTCCTCCTCCTCCTCCTCCTCCTCCTCCTCCTCCTCCTCCTCCTCCTCCTCCTCCTCCTCCTCCTCCTCCTCCTCCTCCTGCCCCTCCTGCCCCTCCTGCCCCATCCTGCCCCTCCCTCCCCTCCCCCTATGGGGGCGCCAGATCGTGCCCGCCGCGGGCACCTCGCTTCTCTCCCGCCCCCTTGAGGTCCTCCTCCGTCGTGCCGCCTCACGGCGCCCCCGCCCCGCCCCCTCCCAAGCCAAGGCGTGCCTCCTCTCGGGAGGGGAAAACACGCAGGCACACAACCAATCGCCGACTCCCAGGAAATAAGCTTAAGCTGGGCAGTATGGGAAGTGGAGGGCAAGATGAACATCCATAAAGTCTTCAAACATCTACGGAATCCTGGGATTTGTGTCTACGTTTTTATGTGTGTGTCCTTGGGCCTTGTTCGTCCTCATCTTGTCCTCTGGGAATGTGGTCGCGTGTACGGATCAGCGGCGTAGCGCTCTTCAGCGGAAGCTCCTCAGCTTGGGGTTGGCACAGCTCGCGAGCGCCTCGCCGCTGCCGTCCCACGCCAAGAGGGGGGAAGAGTTCTCTTCTACTCTAGGCGCTTCGCGTCGCCCCACCGGTCCATCCGCAAACGATGCCCACACGCGTCGCCCGAATGAAGGATGTGGAAGAGCACGCAGTGGAACACAGGGACAGGTAAGACATCTTACCCGAAGAGGGGGAGGATGGAGGAGGAATCGGAGGAGGAGGGGGAGGAGGATGAGGTTGAGGAGGGGGAGGAGGAGGAGGAGGAGAGATGAGGAGGAGGAGGAGGAGGAGGAGTGGGAGGAGGAGGAGGAGTGGGATGAGGAGGAAGAGGAGGAGGAGGAGGAGGAGGAGGAAAATTTGCCGCTGCACTGCCGAGCAACCACCACACAGGACTGGAGGAGGAGGTGGAGGAAGAGGAGCAGGAGGAGGAGGAGAAGTAGCCTCGTCATGCTCGTCGTCGCCCTTCTCCACCTCTTTCCCCTGTCGCCTCTCTGGCCTGGGCGTTTCTGAACCTTGGCCGACCTGCCCTCTTGTCTGGAGCATGAGTCACAGGGCCACGGCTGCCGTCATCCGCTGCCCAGTCCAAACGTGCATAACTGCTGAGGAGGAAGACCTGCATGGACATACACTTTCAGAGCTCCTCTGAGTGCCCCTCTGTGCAGATCATGAGCTTCGAGTACATGCAGCACGTGGGCAACGCGATGCTGAACTGCCTGCGGGTGGAGAGGCGGCATCTGGGCCTGCGAGGGGGGTCTCCGTCGATGAGGAGGGTACGTTCCACTCCCTCCTTGGGGACCTCGTTGGAATCGAAGAAGGAAGCGCATAACAAACATAGGTCTCCGACCGTCCGCGCGGATTTCTTGCCTCCCCTGGCTTGCCAGGAAGGTGTGTGTTGTTTGGTTGTTGGTTTTGCTGCCCCCCCTCCGGGACCTTCGTCCGACTCGTCGTGGCCGCAGATGGAGCTGAAGGGGGAAGGGGACGACGATGGAATGATTACTTCGATGGGCTATTCGCAGGTCAGTCTCTTGTCCACGGTCGGCGCGGCTCGCGCCCGGGCTGGCGGGGGCACTTGCGGTGGAAGTGGTTTCTTTCGACTTGATCCGTTGGTGGACCCCCATGCTCCCACAGCCGAAGCCCGCTCTCCCAGGACCTCGCAGCTGTTGCTTGCTGTTGTGTTCCCGTCTCTAGTTTCACTGTTCGTGCAGCGGGCCAACACTCCGAGCCGGAGGGGGAGGTTGCATAGGTCTCTTGTTTTCATGTCTTTTGTTTCTTTGTGTGCATCGGGCCAAAGTTATGAGTTCGAGGGGGTATCGTCGCAGAGCGGCGAGTCTGGGGACGCCGCCGACACTGGGCCCAGGTGGCAAGAAAAGGGCGCCCGGAGGGCAACCCTGCCCGAGGAGGGGCCGTGTAACAGGTGTTGTTTCACCCCAGATTGCTCATCCTGCAGTCAGAGCGGAGGTGGCGGGTCACTTTCTGTGGCCTGCTATTGCATGCCTCGGTTTCACGTCTCCGTGGGCGCATGCTTGAACAAACGCTCCTTCCACCAAAGCCACTAGTCACTAGGAGCTGGGGGCGAGTCTGATCCGGGCGGTGCCCGCTGTTTCGTCCTCGGGGCATCCTGCTTCGCCCTGCGCCGGTCCGAGGAGGAGGAGGAGGAGGAGGAGGAGGCGGAAGAGGAGGAGGAGGAGGAGGAGAGGAGGATGAGGATGAGGATGAGGATGAGGATGAGGAGGAGGAGGAGGAGGAGGAGGAGGAGGAGGAGGGGGAGGAGGAGGAGGAGGAGTGACCTCGAGTGCGGCCCCCCCGATCGCCGAAGGCGGTGCGATAGCAGCGGCCTGCGCGCTCGGGTTGTTGGCCTCCTTCGTGCCCCCCCCCAAAAAAGCTCCGCACCAGAGGTCGCTCCTGCCCAGGGCCACTCGCAGGAGGGGAAAAAACACACACAGACACCATTCCTCGTCGTCCTCCTCCTCCTCCTCCTCCTCCTCCTCCTCCTCCTCCTCCTCCTCCTCCTCCCCCTCCTCCTCCTCCTCCTCCTCCTCCTCCTCCTCCTCCTCCTCCTCCTCCCCCTCCTCCTCCTCCTCCTCCTCCTCCTCCTCCTCACCATTCCTCGTCGATTCCCAGGAAGAGATGGGGAAATATGGGAAGTGGGGGGGGGGACAGAAACCCAGACAACATGGGAACAGATGGGGAATCCTGTTGTTCGGGTGTATTTAGTTGTCTGTCCCAGGGCCCCTTCACACTCGTATGTACGTGCAGCCGGGAGCAGGGAGCCGAGGGGACGTGGTCGGACCGGCCAGAGGCGGAGGGAGCTGCGGTCCTGGCCCCCTTCTGGGGGACCCGTCGGCTTCGGAGGGGCCCCCCAGGGCAGGTCATCGGCGGCCAGCCCAGGGGCGAAGTGAGAGGGGGTGGGCCTCGACAGGAGGCCCAGACGTCCTCCAGCCTCCTCTGGGCAGTTCGCGGAGCCTCCCCCCGAGATGCAGAAAGCCTCTAATTCAAGAAGGCCCGAGGGCTCCAGAGGAGCCCTGCGCCTTCGGAGAGGGACATCTCCTTCACATGCAACGCCTGGGAGGTGAAATTCTGATTGTGCCCTGGTCCCAGATCTGGCTTAATCCGGTTTAGTACCGCTGAATCCAGCTTCATCCCGCTTAGTCCGGATTCAATAAATCCGCTTTATCCCGCTCAGTCTGCGGCCTAACCGGGCGTAGCAGCCCCCCAATGGGGTTCCATCCTTTTTGGGTGCTTCCGACGAAGACCTCCCAGCAGCTGCCTCTTGATTCTCCCTCCTATTTCCCCCCCTCTCGCTCGCCACCGAGGTAAGGATCACGGCCCCTCCGGGGGGGCTGGCCAGAGGGCGGGGTGGTACCCCGGTTCGAAGAAGGCGCGGGTTTCTTGGATCCGCGCCTGGGCCCCCCGGCGGCGCCTCCGGCGCCGCCCCTGGCGCGCGGAGCGCGCCAGGGAGGGGGGTCCAGCGCGAGTCCAAGAGATCCGCGCAGAGCGCCAAAAGTTTATGGTAATGCGGCTGTTTCTTCTTCTACCGGTAGCTCGCGCTCGCGCGGCGAGACGCGCCGGCACCTCACGGCCGGGAGAGGGGGCGCGGGCGGGCGCGGGCGAGGGCAGGCCCAGGGCGAGGAGGGCTCGCTCCAGAGCGTGTAGGTATACAGTGGGGGCCCATGCCAATCAAGCAGCGGCGAAGCGTCCTGGCTCGCCTATAGGCCTACCAAAGAATGTTCTAAGAACCTTCTGTGGCTTGCACGATATGTTCTTGGAACAGTTCTGGCTGGGACGGTCTTGTTTTAACACAGTGGGTTTATGTTCTAAGAACACTGTTTTTGATATTAGAACACTCTCGGGTTATAAGAAAATGTCGTGGTAGGCCTATAGGAATGCCGGGACGGTCGGTCCCTGCTCAAGCCAAGAAGCACCTTGCTCGCCTCCAGGGTGCCCTAGGTTTCCTGGGTTTCGGTGGTTTTGAGATGGAAAGCGTGGCGTTCCTACGCCAACAATCCACAGACGTCCTGGGGTCTCAGGGGTGGGTTTCTTGTGGAGGGTGGTCTCTTGTGGTCGAGCTCCTGATTACTGTACGCTCTGGAACCAGCCACGGCGCCCGATACGTCCTGCAAGTGGGCCTTCAACATGCATAACGCACTTCGTGGCATTGTTGTAGAGAGGCTACAGCATGCCGCCGACGGTCACCAGAGGCTGCCAGAGGCCGCCTAAAGGCCAAGAGCGGCTGCTAGAAGGCGACTACAGGGGCCGCTAAGGGCCGCTAATGCTATATTGAAGGCCGCCAGAGGCCACTAAGGGATACCAAGCCGAGGCGGTATGAGTTGGAATGGGCTTCCCAAATCTAGTCCCCCATCATCCTCCAGACCCTTCGGATCTCAGGGTGCCATTGTCCCACGAGGGGGGGCGGAGTCGGCGAGGTGCGGGGCCTGAGCGCGAGGCAGTGCTCCAGCGGCCAGAGGGGGCGGACTGCGGTCGGCGGTGAAGGGCGGCGGCTCGAGCGGCCCCCCCTCTGGGGGCGCGGGGGGCGGCGCGCATGTGCCGCGGCAGGCGGGGCTGCCGCGGGCGGCAGCGCTCGCCCGCCGCCTGCCGCGGGGGGCCATGGCCACTGCGGGCATGGCCGCGCCCGGGGCCCCGGCGGCGCTGGGTCCGGAGGCGGCGCGGCCTGACGCGAACGGGGCCGCCGTGGCGCGCATGCGCGAGCAGCAGCGGCGCATGCGGCTGACCCGGGAGGGGCCGCTGAACCCGGACACGAAGGACTACTGCGGCGCGTTCGTGTCGCTGGACGAGGACAACTCGTGGGACTATCCGGGGCCGGCTGCGCCGGTGACGCCGGGCGCGGCCGTCTGTTTTGGGCGGGGGGGAGTCTTCCTCGCGAGGATGGGCCTGCTTCGGACAAAAAGCTGGTCCAAGATGGTGTCCAGGATGGGTCCAGGGGCAAGGTATTGAGAATGCTGTTCCGGGATGCGCTCCTGGAGGACTTTCCGAGGGGATCCCGTGAGCTGTCCAAACGCGGTTGGGCGGGTTGGGAGGAGTGAGGAGGGCAAGCAGCACGGGCAGCAGCGGGACGGCGAGCAGCTCGAGTCGCAGCCGTTCACCCCGCGGACCGGGGCCCAGGACAGCCAGGCGCAGAGCACGTGGTTTCGTGGATTTCGGGGGCAACGATACGGGGGGCTGGGCATCATGGGGGCTGCACCGACCCCCAATCGCCCATTGATCGCCTTGGCATCGCTCGGACGTGTGCATTTTTCCTTCGGCGAGGGCCATCGAGGAGCATCCTTGATCATTTGGCGAAAAAACCACGCACGAAACCAAGCAAAAACCAGGGAATGGACGTCCGAGCGATGGCGAGTCGCCGAAGGGGGCCCAATAGCCCCAACCTGCCCGGGAGAATGCGGATCCCTATCGGGGATCTCTCGCTGGTCCATCGGCGACGTATCGCCGCTTCCAGGTCGACGCGTGCCCCCCTGTGCGAGTCCCCCCCCTACCGGTGCCCCGCAGCAGCCCATGCGGAGCAGACCTCGAGACAAGTGACCAGCAGCAGTGTCAGCATGTGCTGCCCGCCTCAGAGTGCCGAGTGGTCCTGGTCAGTTGCGAGAGGCGGGAAGCCACATGGGGACATCGGGAGGGAGGAAGAAGAGGACGAGGATTGGGAGGAGGCGGAGGATGAAAAGGATGAGGAGGATGAGGAGGATGGCGCCGACGACGACGAGGAAGCCCAGACCGTGACAGGGTGAAAAAAGGAGGAGTAGGAGGAGGAGGAGGAGGAGGAGGAGGAGGAGGATGCACGAGGACGGAGATGACGAAAAAAAAAGGGGGATCACGGAGGCAGAAGGAGGGCCAGGAACAAGTGAAGAGGGGATCGATGTCCGAGGAACGTTTTGGTTGAGTAATTTGTTGTTGTTTCTTCTTAGTATTTTTGGCCTCTGACGGAGTAGGCAGGAGGAGCACTAGGAGGAGGAGGAGGAAGGAGATACGCCGGAGAGATTCCACCACGGAGCGCCCAGCCGCAGTCCCTGTGCAGGTTTGAGGCTGAGGCGGAGGAGGACGAGAATGCAAGAGAGATGCTGGAGGGTCGATGGGGCTGGTGGGAGAAGTTTTTGACATGAAGGAGTCCCTCATGGCTTGACGGCTTTCCTGCAGTCGTATTGCGTGGAGACGGCCAGGTCGACCGAAGTGAGAGGTAAGAGAGTGATGTGAATCCAGATGCACCGAGATACAGTCGACCCGCAAAGTAAGGATGATCGACTTTTCCAAGGGTGCCCTTACAGCCTTCCCCCTTCGGCCCATCCTCGGCCGCTCCCGCTGGCCGCGCTTCACTCGCAGAGTGTCGACATGGCCCTCCAGGCCCTTGCATCCTTATCGCGCATCCTTATCACACGGTTTGAATGTATACTCCAGATTTCGTAATAAAGGTAGGGGGGTCTCATTTCGGGGGGGGTCTCTTCCAGGCTATCTTGGAGGGCCTGGGGGGGTCTGGGGACGATGCTTTGGAGGGTTCTCCCACGGGGGGGGGTCTGAAATGGCTTGTCTTGGAGGGTCCAGACCCCCTCCCTTTTATCGTGAAATCTGGAGTATCCAGAGAGGTCACGATCAATGTGGAGACTTTGGGAGCTCCCGCGCGCGTGGACGGACAGGCATGCCGTGAAGCCCACGACGAGAGAGCGGTCCGGAGAGGAGCGCGCGCGGAGGCCGCCGGCCAGCCAGCCAGCGGGCCTTTCGGGGGCGGCCGGGGTGGGCTGGGGCCCGTTCGCTGCACGTGCTGGAGAGAGCCGCGTTCCCTCGGAAGCAAGAACCTATGCTCTGGACGCCCGAGATGGGCACGGAAAGAATGGGTACCATGCTCAACAGCAGTTCCTGTTCATTCTGAACAGGCCTCGCTGTCCACGCCGCCGCGGCCTGTGTCCACTCGAGACAGAAGGCCGCCTGCCCAACAGCGGCCGCTGTTGGTTTGGGACAACATTTGTTGTTGGGCATAGTACCCATTCTTTCGGTACCCATTTCGGGTGTCCAAAGGGTGGGCTGGGGCCCGTTCGCTGCACGTGCTGGAGAGAGTCGTGGTTCCCTCGGAAGCAAGAACCTATGCATTACCAGTGGCGGGCTGTCTTTCGGCCCTGGGACTTTTTAAGGGTCGGGGACGACGTCGGGGCGGTGTGGGGTATACTCTCTTTCCGTCCCCCGGGAGACACCAAAGAAGTATACATCAGGATCCCGTATACACCATGATCCGTTTTCTTGTGCGAGCGTCCGTGCAGGGCCGGACAACGCGTCGGTATATTGAGTTCGTTTCCCTATTACCACTTGTCCCACAGCGCCGCATCATCCAACCAATGTTTGGTGCCTCTCCAGCCTCCTCCTCCCCCTCCCTGACAAAGACGGAGGATGAGGGGGAGGTGGAGGAGAGATCAGCACTGGCTCCAATCGATCAGCATATTGCCTGGACAGAGGCTCCCGCGACGCTTTGGCATTCCTCGTCGGGTCTTGGCTCCTGCTTCTGTTGCTCGGTGAGGAGAACCAGATAGGTCTGTGCCGCAGCTGCCGCTGCATTCGAGTGCGCCGTTTTTTGGCTCCTCGTCAAGGCAGGCTCGCGGTTGGGGGGAGGCGATATCTATTGGGGATAGGGATGGACACGTTTTGGCATGCCAAGCGCTCCGTCTTTGCTGACCTCCCGCGCCTAAGAATTCATGGAAGCACTGCGCATTCTTGCCTGGGCCTGTCTAGACCCAGGCTGTCTGGCGCTTCGGGTCCGCGAGGCCCTTATAGCATGCCTGAGGAAGGATTGGCCTGTGCTTGTGTGACGTGTCAGCTTCCTTCGATCGGGTTCGGACAAAAAGGCTCTGAACCAAATTACATGCCAGGGGCACCACAGAGGCGTTGTTGCGGGTGTTCGAGGTCAGTTGCCTGCGATCGGGTTCTGAACGAAAGTATCTGGACCAAATTCTTTGACAGGGGCACGTTGGAGGCTTTGTTGCGGGCGGTCGAATGTTGGCCTGATAAGCAGACGGCCGTCGTACAGTCAACGCGCTTAGTAAGGACGTGCGCCTTCATCTAGGGTGCGTTCGTGTCCTTGCCTCTGCGGCCCGTCCTTTGCCGTTCTCACCGGTCGCCCGCCGCACAACAAATCAGAACTTCGTCCTCCAAGGATTTTGCGTCCTTACCACCCGTCCCTAGCACACGTTTTGACTGTAGTTGTCAGCGACAGCAGCTCCGGCGTGATTGAGTTGACCAAAGTTGTTCCAAGGCGCGCTGTGGGGGGCAGTTTTGTGGAACAGCTTTTACGCCGACGCGGCCAGACCAATCGAGAAGCATTTGATCACGGAGATGATATTAGCAGACGACCTCAGCGCCTTCGGGGTACGGTCTGAAAATTCCGAAGCGACCATTGTTGGGGTCAGGATGGCGTGTGCATGGCCGAATTCAACGCGCGGGGAAGAGCTAAATAATTGTCCTTCAATACTGGTTAGGCGTCGCCTGACATTCTGTCCACAACGTGTCCACATGGCAGACGGTTCGAACTGTTGGGTGTTTGGGTTGATGCGCGAGTTGCGCAGTGATTGTGCTCTATTGCGCACCGAAAGGTCGCAACTTACCACGCGTGTGGTTCAGCTCTGGCTATTTGGGATCGCGTTCGTTTTAGGCCTACCCGGGTTACGGGCGCCACTCGTGGTGAGGCCGTCGGAACGTTCAACCTTGCGCCCGTGTCTGCACGCAAGAATATGACTTTTTGGATGTTATGCGCAGCGCGGTCTCGGACAGTGGGCCGCAACATTTTGGGGAATTCCTCCTGCTGAACAGCGAGTCCGCGATGGCGTTCTGCGAAAGACACCATCTGCAGCTAGTGGAGTACCAGGATGGGCAGTAGACCGAGTTCGCGTTACCGCATTCCCGCCAAGACAACTACATCCAGCAATCTATGTTGGGACTGGTTTCGATGTATTTTCGCTTGCCGTACAGGAGTCGCGGAGGAGACCAGTCCCAGTCTTTTTCTTCAGAGCGGATTGCAGCATATTTCCCGACACAGCGCCAGCAGCGGGGATCCAGAACACACGCACTTTCTGAGCAATAGTATTTCGTGAAAGGTCACCACGATTGTTCTCTCGCTGTAAGATGGAGGAGGAGGAGAAGGAGGAGGAGGAGGAGGAGGGGGAGGAGGAGGAGGAACAGGAGCCAAGCAGTGGCGAAGCATCCTGGCTCGCCTATAGGCCCACCATAGAATGTTTTGAAAACCTTTTTTGTGGTTGAGACGCGACATGTTCTTAGAACTTTTCTGGCTGGGACGGTCTTGTTTTAACACATCGGGTTTTTGTTCTTAGAACATCGTTGTTGTTATTAGAACCTTTTTCTGGGATCTCGGAACATTTCGTGGTAGGCCTATAAGAATGCCGGGACGAGCGGTCCCTGCTCAAATGAAGAGGAAGAGGAGGAGTCCCAGTTTCGCGGCGCGCGCCCCGCCGACGGGGCCGGCGGACGCCGCCTTCAAGCGCGGCTTCTCGATCCGGGTGACCAGCCTGAGCGACGAGGCGGGGCGATTGGGTAACATCTCGCCTCGCCCTCGTCCCAAGTCTTCCTCCCGTCGCGTAGGAATACGGTGGGGGCGTTCGTTGAGGAATGTGCCCAGGAGGCGTCTGACCCTGGAGGATTCCCTATCTGATGAAAGCGGCGGTGATATCCATGGCCAAGCCCCGATTGGAGTTCCACAGTCCTCCAGACCCTGGCCTTTTTTTCGGCCTCTCCGAGCCTTGGACTGAAAATATGGTTTCGGATGGGACGCCGACCCCAGGGAAGGCTTTTAGAAGTTCGCGGACGTCGCACGTATGGGTCTTCCCCGACCGCCTGCCCTCCTCACAGTGGGGAGGCGCATCAAGGTGTAGCGTGTACACTCGACCCGCATATGAAGGATGATCAAATTTCCCGGGCTACCCTCACACCCTTCCCCTCTCAACCCATCGTTTGCCGCTTTCGCCGGCCGCGCCCCGCTCGCAAAGTGTCGGCATGGTCTTCCAGGGCCTTTTGCGTCCTCATCGCGCATCCTCACTAAACGGGCTGACAGTATCTAGGCCGAGGTGCGCCTGGCTGCTGCTGCTGCCCCTCGGCTGTTCATCGTCGAACTCTTCGGCGTCTGAGCGTCCGTTTTTCCTCCCAGGCGTCCCCCCCCCTCTCTTTGCCCGCCAGCCGGTTCGCCACTTCGTGCCCCTGTATCCAGCTCCTCGCTGGAGCGGAGTTCGCCGCCTCGCCGCCGACCAAAAACTGCACCTGGTCCGAGGATCGGGCCAGACGAAAGGGGGAGGGAAAGGGGGGGTACGAAATCTGCTGCATACAGCTGGTTTCGGCCCCGCCGAGGGGCTTATTCCTCGATGCATGGCCGCCTCCCGCGCTGGGAGGCGCCGGGAAAACCAGCTGCGCGAGCTGATTATCAAACCCCCCTTTGCTATCCCCCCCTTGCGCCCGGCCCGCACCTATAGCTTCTCGCTGGAGCGGAGTTCGCCGCCTCGCCGCCGACGAAGCTCAGGAGGGAAAGGAACACACAGACACAATCAATCGTCGATTCCCCACGAAATATGGGAAAATACGGGAAGCGCATGGGTGGGAAGACAGAAACCCCGAACATATAGGAAAGTATGGGGAATCCTTTTATTTGTGTGTATTTCCTTGTGTGTCCCAAGGCCCCTTCAGACAAAAATGGCACCCGGTCCGAGGAGCCTCTCCGTGGCCGAGGGAGGCCGGCCGTTGGCAGCGCAGGCCCGTCGCTGCTGCTGCATCCTTCCCTGGTGTCGGCCTTTTTGTCCCCGTGGCCGCGCCCGGGCCGCGTTGCTCCGCCGCGCTGCCCGGGCACTTCCTTCGGGAGGGGAACCACAAAAAAACACAGGCACAAGGGAGCGTCGATGCCCAGGACGGTATGGGGAAATGAGGGGAAGTGGGGGGAGGGCAAACAAAAGCTGAGACGATATGGGAAGCTATGGGAAGTGAGGGGGAAGGCAGAAAAACAAAACTCAGAAAATGTGGGAAGATATGGGGAACATCCTGCGATACATATATAGATATACAAATATATGTATAGATATGTACACATATATATATATATATGTATGTGTGTGTATCGGGGCCCCCGCAAGTCTGCGCCTCCGCGGAGGTGCGCGCCCACGGCCCCTGCGCCGAGTTCCTCAGTGAGCGTCCGGGGGGGGCGGCACCCCCGCCGACAGCCCCACATCGACCCCCGTCGTGGGCAGCCACCGCGCGCCGAGGGCGCTCCGACCCCCGTCGCGGCGTGACGACGAGGCGAGTTCCACCCCCATCGGGGGTATACCCCCCCACGCTTATTAAGAAACCCAAGGTGGGTTCCCAGCGCCTGGATCCAGCGAAAGTCGGCGGCGCGCCCGCGGGGAAAGGGGAAACGGAGAAGGAAACGGCCCTCTCAGAAAGCGGCGGGGCTTCTCAGAACTCCTCGCGCGCCTTCTCGTAAGTGTCTTAGACAATTTCTCAGAAGGCAGTGGGGGACTTCCGAGGCTTCTGAGAAGGCCCGCCCCTTTTCACTCCCCCCCTGGGATCGCCGCCGGAAAACCCACGGGCTTCATGTCCAGGGGTCATTGTGAAGGCCTCTGGTGGCCGCAGCCCCTTTCTGCTGCTCCTCCCGTTTCCTTGGCGTCGTTCTCCACGTCTGCACCTCATCCTCGTCGTCGTCCTCCGACCCTCTGCTCTTCGCTCGATCGTCGTCATCGTCCTCCTCCACCCCCTTCTCCTCTGGTCCTCACCCTCATCGCCTTCGTTCAGGGTGGGGTGGGGGGAGTGGCGCGGGGACATCAGTTTGGCGCAGCAGCGTGGCGCATTTGTGCGGGGGGGGGGCCGGGGGGGGCGCCCTGGATTGCTCGGAGGCAGTGGAGTTCGACATGGTTGGGATCGATCCACCGCTGGCGAACGCGTTCCGCAGGCTCCTGCTTGGGGAGGTGCCCACGGTGGCGATCAGCGAGGCGAGCTCGTTTTTTGCAGTGCAGGGCTGGGCGTACCCCTCTGCTTCTCGTCCTCGTCACCCTCCGTTCTCGGTATTCTTCCTCGTCCTCCTCCTGCTCGCGTTCTCCCGTTCCCACTTCGCGTTCCATTTCTTTTTGTTCGGTTGTTCTCGACCTTCCCCTTTCAAATAGGAGGGGTTCATCGTCTTTTTCCTCCTCCCTCCTTCTCCTCGAGCGTGTTTTCTTTATCCCTTGGTGCATAGTGGGCATTGTAGCCCCCGGCCACCCCCTCCTAGAACGTAACGCCCCTTTACCCCAGGTGCGCTCAGGGCACTGCCGCCGTGCGCATCGGGATCCGCATCGGCGTCCGCATGGGAATCCGCATAGGAGCCTTGTCCGCATTGGTTTGACATTGGGGGCGGGTGAGTGAGAAGGAGGAGGAGGAGGAAGAGGAGGAGGAGGAGGTGGATGCGGCGGACGGGGGAGGAGAGACGAAGGTCGCATTCTATTATCAGCGCATCCCTGGCGTGGCGTTTAGCTGTCCGCAGCAGATCCTCACCTACATGCTCGTTCTACCTGTCCTGTGCACGCAGGCACTGTGGTGTACACTAGCGCTGCGTGCGCGCGGATGCTGTGGTGTAGACAGGCGCTGTGGTGTGCACAGGTTCTGCCGTGCACGCAAGCAATGTGGTGCTTTCAGGCGCTGTATTGCACATGGTTGCTGCGGTGTTACACATTCCACCGGCGCTGTGGTGCACGCACGCATTGTGGTGTACCCAGGCGCTGTGTCGCACACGATTGTTGCGGTGTACGCAGGCGCTGTGATGTACACGCGCGCTGTGGTGCACGCGAGCATTGTGGTGTACACAGGCGCTGTGTTGCACATGGTTGCTGCGGTGTTGCACATTCGCTGTGGTGTACACCGGCGCTGTGGTGCACGCAAGCACTGTTGTGTACACAGGCGCTGCGTCGCACACGGCTGGTGCGGTGTACGCAGACGCTGTGGTGTACCCGCGCGCTGCGGTGCACGCGAGCATGGTGGTGTACACAGGCGCTTTGGGGCAGGTCGCCACCTACATGCTGCTCGCGTCGTCGTCGTCGTAGTCGCTGGTCGCTCGTCGCTCGTCGCTCATCGTCGTCGTGTGCGCGGGCACGGCTTTGGTGTTTGAGCCACACGGCGGGGGGGGCCTTACATTATAACCCCCCCCCGCCCCCCCCTTTTAATACCCATTATCGCCGAAAATAGAGAAACGCGCTCCTCTGTCCTCCCTCTTCCCTCTCACGTTCTTCTCCTCGTCTCCACCATCTTCATCCATACGCCCCTTCTCGGTAGGATCATCTTTGCAGATCTCGTCTACCTGAGGTGGGACTGGCGCAGCACATTCCTATCAGGAGCCGGTGGGAGTCGATGATCCTGAGCCCGTGTGGTAGCCCAGTGTGCTCTACGCCGTGGAGCTCCACCGACAGCACGCAGTCTGCGTCGGCCCTCGATTTGCCGCCGGCGACGTGTTGAAAGGCTTCCGTGGACAAGCGAGCCCTGGCCCTGACACACACACACACACACACACATGTTCCGAGGATCATCGAGGTCATCTGAGTATTGTTCCCCTTTGCTCGGGGCCCGAGGACACTCGAACGCGTGGCCAGGGGATAGCTACTCGTGGTTCGGCCGAGTTTTGAACACCTTCGGATGATGGCTGAACCCCAGGAGATCCTCCCCATGTTCTGCCCTTCCTAGATACTCCCTCATCATCCCTCCACCATGCCCCGTTTCTCTCCTCTTCCCTTTATCTCTTCCCTCCTGTTCCTCCCTTCCTTCTACTGATCACCCGTCTGCCTTCATCTGACCCAGGCGCAGGCCAGTATAAGATCCTCTAACTCCTAGCTGCTCCAGCGCCCTTGCTGAGGTCTCGTGCGAAGCTGAACAGGTACGAGAGGAGAGGGAGTTGAGTTGGATGGATGTCATCGCCGATGGTGACGCTGACCATGACGATTCCACTGCTGCTGCTGATGATGGTGGTGATGATGATGATGATGACGATGATGATGCTAATGATTGTGATGATGATGTGGCGTGATCACTGGTTTTCAGCCTTCCTCCGTGGAGTGAGCAAGACGAGATGTCTGTATCCCTGCGTTGCCGAAAGGACCTATACGGTTCGATGCGACACATCGTCCTGGATTTCGTTTGGAATGTGTTCGGGTGATGTGATGCCTTCGTGTTTTGAACATGCCTCGCCTCGGGGTCCAGGTGTTGGCCAAGCCGCCACTACTCACAGGCCGTGGCTGCGGTCTCTCATGATCAAGTAATTGCCAGCTCAGGGCGTTGCCGGGCAGAACGCCCGCCCACGGTCAAAGCCTCCACTTCGGCCGTGACAAGAGTCCGGCTTTGGATGCCCTTGGCTAGAGTCCGATGCCGCTCAGTGCAGGACTGCTGTCCCGCATTCCCACGGGCCGCCGGCGGGCGGGCTGCGCTGGGGCGGGAGGCACACCCGCGAGGGCCGCCGCCGACAAAGCCGCAGCGCAGCAGCTCGTCTGGGCTCTTCTCGGGCGATCCCCCCCCCCCACCCAGCGACGCTGACGACCACCGCCTGCCCCAGACCCCGCCCACCGATGAACCCGAGCCCCGCCGCCTGCGGAGGCTCTCCGCCGGCGCCGCCGCCTGGTCGCCTCTGCCGCCGCAGGGTCTTCTACAGTGCAGACCCACACCACTTGGCATCGCTCGGGCGCGTGCATTTTTCTCGGCGGGAACCACCGAGGACCATCCTGGACGGGCCATCGATCCAACAAAACACGCACGAAACCGAAAAGTGCACGGGAAGTGGACGTCCGAGCGACGGCCAGACCAAGAAACACCCTGCTTGCCGCCAGGGTGCCCTGGGTTTCTTGGGTTTCGATGGTTCTGCTGTGGAAGGCGCGACGTTCCCGCACACAAAAATCAAGGGGCGTCCTGGGGTCTCAGGGTTCGGTTTCCTGTGGAGGGTTTCTTGTGGACTGGCATCCACCGTAGTTTCCTGCCGCGGGCGGCCCGTCTTTCCCAGCCCCTGCTCTGGCGCGTCTGCCTGCCCATCCTCCTCTTCCTCGTCCGCTTCTGCTCCCAGCCCGCTGTCGTCCCCCTGTCCCTTCCCACCTGCCTTCGATGGAAGGTAAGAAGCACGGGGATGCCACGGGATCTTGTCGACGCCGATATTGGTCTTACGTCGGGCGTGTCCCTCTACAGGATGAATATTTAAAAAAAAACACGAAGAAATCGTCAGGGAACGATGTTTCTGTCATTTATTGTGTTTTGTTTTACTATTTTGTTATTTCTCTTCCAAAATCAGCCTGTAGGGGGACACGCCCGACCGAATCTCGGTCATTTGGTCCATGCTGGCCGTCGCCAATTCGCGATGATGATACACGGATTGACGCTGACCAATATAGACGGTGACCAGGATCGAAATCGATGTTCCGCGTTCAATCTTGGATTTGGCCCCTGCTTGCTCCGTCGTCTCGCTGGCGCTGGCCTTCGCCTGCGCGTTCGTCGTCGTCGTCTGCTGGCTTTGCAGTCGGCCTGCATAGCAAGGATGGGCAACCTTCCCAAGGGTACCCTTTGCCTCCTTGCCTCCTCGGTCCACCCTTGGCCACTTTCGTTGGCCGCGACCCGCTCGAAACGCTTAGAAATGGGCGTCCGAGGCCCCTGCATCACTTGCCGCGCATCCTCATGATGCGGTCCGGCTGTAACTCGCAGCCCCCCCTCTCCCGCCGCCGAGCAGCACAGGCTGCCCGTGTCCAGCGGCGCCAACGCGCAGTGCCTCGTGCGACTCGTGGCCGCCCTCGTCGCCGCTGTGCAGAACCGTGCCCTGCTTGAGCCGCGAAAGGGAACGCATATTAGTGGCACGTGCCCCTATTTTATATGTTTACGCATTTACATGCACATATTTGTCTGTGGGTACGCATATGCATGTTTATGTGGATATGTATGTGTGTAGGTATATGTCTGGATTCGCAGATGGAGGAGGCCGTGTACATAATTGTTTAACCCTCTGCGCAGATCTCTCGGATCGACGCGTGGACCCCCTCTGGCGGCGCCAGGGAGGGGGGTCCAGCTCAGAGCCAACAGCATCCGCGCGGAGCGCAACCAGTTTATGTCTATGCCGTTTTTTTTTTGTGTGGATATATGTATGTATGTGTATATATATATATATATGTGTGTGTGTATATATATATATATATATATATATTGACGGGCTTTTAGCGTGTTAGGCCATTGTTTTTTGTTCGAAGGCCTCGTGCTTCTTCAGCAGCAACGCGCTGATGGGGTCCCCGCGGCGGCGTGCCATTCGTGGGGCTTTGGCCTCCTGATTAGGCATGCGGCATCCAGCGCGGCACATGCCCCGAGTTGGGCGATCTTGGATGAGAGGGAGGAGGAGGGGAGGGAATCCAGTGTTTTGTCGTCCTATGGCACCGAACGGTCTTTGCCCGCCCCCACCGGTAACGGTGACGATTGTACGTAAGGAGGGGGGGGGGGAAAGGGGTGATTGGACCCACCCCAAATGCTGGTGCTCGCGCGCATACTGCGGCGATCGCAGCGCACCCCCGCCCCGACGTGCCCCACCCCGCCCAAGCGTTGCCCCCTTCCTGCTACATATCCCCCTGTCCCTATACCCCCCCCTCTCCCGCTCCCCCAGCCACCCATCCGCCCTCATTGAGCGCGTTCCACTACTCGCCAAGTGCCTACTCGTAAACGCCCGAAAAACACATGTTTGCGCCGATGTAGTGGATCGTAAATCCCCCGCGGCGGATCCAGGCCACTTGAGAGTGGCCGCCCGCGCTTGCCTCTGCCCTGCTCGAGACGATGCCCAAGACCACAGGGCCTCCCACACCCAGTGGCCGCCGGGGCCCCCGTCCCGCCCCGCCCCAGAGAAACCCAAACCCCCCTTTCCCGCCCACGTCCCGTCCCCTGCCCCCCCTCTTGCGGGCAATATTCATATCCATGTCCAGTGCCTCTTGGACTTTTTTGGAAGCGGCGCCACAAGGCCGAGGCGCACTGGATATGGATAAACATCGAGGTTCTCGGGGGCACATTTATCCAGATCCAGTGCGCCCCGGGTTTCTTGGGAAGGGAGCCTGAGAATCCATACGGCGGTGGGTATGGACAGAAGTATTGCCCGCACCTCTCGCGCCTGCCATGGCTCCCGAGCATAGCGGCTGCGAACCCTCTTCTGTGGCGCCCCCCTCTCAGGCCTGAAAACGAGCACCAGGACCAACACAGGAGAATTTTCTCCACAGGGGGAAGGTGATCCTAGTTTTTGGGGCTGGCGGTCATATCTCGACCACCTTGGAAGCCAGAGTATTGCCGCCATCACCGAGGTCGGGACCTTCTTCCTTCGGTGGACGCACACCGCCGATATTGGTGCTGGTGTCAACCTCTAGGCCTGCGATTTCGGGCGCCCCCCAAAGCACTCGTGCCGTTTCGGTGCTGAGGACCCCGGCTCGGGCAGGGTCCGGGCGGGGCAGCCTCCGAGTAAGGAGGCCCTCCGCGGTCTCGGGGGGCGCGGTGTGTGCGCTGCGCCTGGCTTCCAGGGGGCGGGGCCCGCTTGGAAGCCACTCCTGATGGGTTTCTTTTCCACCACCACCGCCACCATGAATTGGAGGGGGGAAGGAGGTGGAGGAGGAGGAGGAGGAGGAGGAGGAGGAGGAGGAAGATAGATGTGGTGGGTGGCAATTGGTGCCTGGAATGGTAGGTGGTGGCACGAATGCCTTGAGATGGAGGTACGAGTCGCCCCCCCTACGGCCGTCTTCGTTGGCCGAGGGGCCGTAGGGGGGTCCTCGGCCCCCTCCGGTGCCTATTGACGGCAAAATGGAAGGTTGACTGGTGGGAGCGGGAACCCTCGCAACCCCATTGATGGAAGCTGCGAGGGGTGTGAGGCCCAATGACGGTCCTCACCGACGAGGCCTAATGACGGTCCTCGCCGAGGGGAGGGGCGAGAGGGAGAGGGGCCACTCCGGGTGTCGATGCCGCCCGCGATGCCTCTCACTCCTGAGGCGGGATTCCTGTAAATGGGGGCCCACAAACCAGCATACACAGCTTCGACTCCGAGACTGTGTGTACGCCACACCCCCCGGAACCACCAGGACAAATGTTTCACTACATCGACGGGTGGTGGGGCGGACAAGGGTGGGGTGATAGGGGGGCGGGGTCGCGAAGTCGCATCCCCACCAAGATAAAGTCCCATGCCTCCCCAGGGGAATGGAACAAGGTGGGAAATGCCATTTTGTACCAGGACCCCCGGAGCCGGCCAAAGCGTGGGGGAGGGGTCAAAATCTCCATCATCGTTTGGGGAATCAGCCCCAATCCGCACACCAGACCAGAAGCCGGAGACCAGGGTCCACGAGGACCCAGGAAAAGGAGGGTCGATCGCCCCCGCCAGGAATTGGATGCCACTCCAGGTGCGCGAAGGCGCCCCAGACGACGAAGCGACCGAGGCGTCGAACTCGACCCCAGGCGAGTAATCCCCCACGTGCGCCGGCAGCACGGCGCGCGGCGCAGGCGAGGGGCTTGCGGGATCCTCGACTGGGGCAGCCCTAAAAGGACAGAAAATAAACCCGGCACCATACCCCGCGATCCAGACATGCTGGTGCGGGGACGGGCAAGACAGAGGCAAGGGAGGAGAGAACGGGCAGGGAGGACAGGACGAGGAGAAGGAGAAGAGACAAGGCAAGAAAGGGGAGAGGGGGGGGGCGGGGAGGGGGCCCAGGAAAGCGGGGGGGGGGGACGAAGGGGGCGGGGCAAGGGGCCAGAGCGGGGACGGGGAGGCAAGAAAGGGGAGAGGGGGGGGCGGGGAGGGTGCCCAGGAAAGCGGGGCGGGGGGGGACGAAGGGGGCGGGCAAGGGGCCAGAGCGGGGACGGGGAAGAGAGGGGGGGGACAGGGACCGAAGTCAAACGTAGATTTGTGGCCCCAAGGGATCCTGGAGGTAGGTCTTCTCGATTGGTTGGCGGGGAGTGGGCACGACCGCACGAGTGCCACTACAGCACAGGTCGAACCATCACCCTAAGCGGGCGGGGAGAGGGACACGACCGCATGAGTGCCACTACAGCACGGGTCGAACCGTCACCCTTGGTGCACAGCTGGGGTGGCCCAAGTGCCAAAATGTAAAGGTTGACTGACATTGACAGGCACAACCAGCCGGCAGGGGAATAGATCCCGTTCACGGCCCAAAGGAGGATAGATGTGGTGGGTGGCAATTGGTGCCTGGAATGGTAGGTGATGGCACGAATGCCTTGAGATGGAGGAAGGAGAGGAGAAGGAGGAGGAGGGGGAAGGGGAGGAGGAGGAGGAGGAGGAGGAGGAGGAGGAGGAGGAGGATCCCCTCCCCCTCCTACTTCTGGTGGCGGCGGTGGAACGCAAGCCCACCCCAGCCGCCGGCCGTGCTGCCAGGTGACCGTCTACCAGAACACCGGCGTCCTGCACGACGAAAACCTGGTCCACCGCCTCGGCCTCTGCCCCATCCGGTGTGAGCCGGACCGCCTGGAGGCCCCTGCGCTGGTGGGGCGGTCGGGCTGTTCGGTGATCGTATCAACTCCCAGGCCTCCTGGATGGGGGCGGAGTAGATGGGCTCGGAGGATCGCGCCGCAGCGCCGATGCATCGGCGATGCGGCTCGATGCGGACCCCGATTTCCTTCACGACGACGGCGCCGATGCCTCAACGAGGTCGTCGATACATCGCCGATGCATCGCCGATGCATCGCCGATGTATCGCCGATGCGGCGTGGTCCTTCGACCCCATCTGCTCGGACCCCGTCTGGGAGGCCTCTACAATCTGCACGTGCCCAGACGTCCGACGCCACGAGTTTGTCGGCTGGCGGCGGCTCCTCGCTTTTTGTTGGGCCCTCGGGGGCCTCGTGGGCCGCTGGTCTGCAGCCAGTCTCGGCGGAGGTGGGGGCAGGCAGCGCCCCCGCCAGCGCCTCCTCCTCCTCCTCCTCTTCCTCCTCCTCCTCCTCCTCCTCCTCCTCCTCCTCCTCCTCCTCTCTTCCTCCTCCTCCTCCTCCTCCTCCTCCTCCTCCTCCTCTCCTCCTCTCCTCCTCCTCCTCCTCCTCCTCCTCCTCCTCCTCCTCCTCCTCCTCCTCCTCCTCCTCCTCCTCCTCCTCCCCCATCCTCCCCCATCCTCCCCCTCCTCCTCCCCCGGGGGGCAGCGGAGGTGGATCAGTCGGGAGCCTGGAGACGGGGGTCGATGCAAACGGGGGTCAGCCAGGGCACCGGATCCTGCAGGATCCTGCGAAGACCCCCTCTGGCCGACCCGGGTTAGCGAGCCGCTCGTGGCCGCGAGGCGGCCGCGCCCACTGGCCGACCCTGGTCTGCGAAGACCTGCGCTGCAGTTTTTTTTGTTTCCTGCGTTGCAGTTTTTGGTTTCCTGCTGACCCGGGTCTGGATTGACCCGGGTCAGAAGATCGGAGGGGAACAGAACACACAGGCACAATGAATCGTCGATTCCCCAGAAAACATGGGAAAATGTGGGAAGTGGGGGGGAAGACGAGAACCCAGAACAGGTGTGACAATATTGGGAATCCTGTCATTAGTGTCATGTATTTGTGTGTGCCCCAGGGCCCCTTCAGTGGAGGAGGGGCAGGAGGAGGAGGAGGAGCTCTGGCCTCCCTCGCCCCGTGGGTCTCACGGCAGTGCCTGGCCATTCCAGGCCCGACCGCTGGCCGGCGAGCGGGGTTTCCTGCAGAGCTGCGCTCCTTGGCGGCCGTCGGCTTCGGGCTGATGGGTACGTACTGTGCAGAGGTCTGAAAAATGTGCGCAATAGCTGGTGCATTCGTTCGTGCGGGGTACGGACGCCGTGCAGAATCAGCACGTGGCGGCCATGCGCCATGCGCCACAGGATGAATTATTTAATCGCTTCGCTCATTCCGCCGGCCCATATTGTCGCACCGTTGTGGGCTAGCCGAGTTTTGGGGCCTCTTGGGCCGTTTTGGGGCCTCTTGGGGCCTCTTTTGGGCCTCTTGGGCGCCTCTTGGGGCGTCTTGGGGGCCTCTTGGGGGCCTCTTGGGGCCTTTCTGGGGCCTCCTGGGCGCCTTCTGGGGCGGAGGGCTCGATTTTTCAGTTCTCGGTTCCCCTCTTGAGCTCCTCTTGGGCCCGTCTTGGGGCCTCTTGGTCCGTCTTGGGCGGCACTTGGGCCGTCTTGGGGGCCCTCCTGGGCCGTTCCGGGGCCGTCTTGGGAGCCTCGTGGGCCGTCTTGGAGCAGTCTTGGGGGCCTCTTGGGCCGTCTTGGAGCGTCCGGAAGCCGAAAAAGCCAGAACGCAAAAAACAAAAAACAGAAAAACAATGAAAATCAATGATTTTGGCCTCTTGGGGCCCTCTTCGGAGGCCTCTTGGAAGGCCCTTGGGGCGTCTTGGAGGCCTCTTGGGCTGTCTTGGGTCCCTGTTGGGCGTCTTCGGGCGATCTTTGGCCGTCTCGGGGCCCTCTTGGACCGTCTTGGAGGCTTCTTGGGGACCTCTTGGCCCGTCCTGGGGCCCTGTAACAGGGCTCCGGCATCCGGCCTGACCTTGCCGGGGACTTGCCGGGACCTTGCCGGGGTCTTTTTCGTCCGGGGGCCCCCAGGGGCCGCCCCGCGCGCGCGAACTAGAAATCATGTTAACCAGGTACCGGAGATCTTAGCACGCCCTGGCCCGTTGGGCCGGCGAATTGTACTTCTATTCCGGACCCACAGTCAGAGACACCCTTTCCCCCGCAACCGAAGCCGTCCCAGTGGCGGCCAAGGCCCCGTCCGCCCGCCTGGCTCCGAGGTGTCCGCGGTTCGGTCGGTGTGGCTGCGTCCCAGCCGGTGGCGTTCGGTCGGCCCGGTCGGCCGTCGTGCCGTGGCTGCGTCGCCGCGCCCTTTCGAGGCTCCAGGCTGCTTGTGTTGGAGGTGGACAGACCTCCTACCCTGACACGTCGATTAAGGCATTGGCCGCTTTCGGTTCGCGAGATGGCGCCGCGGCCGTCATTTTTGCGGGCCCAGGTCCGTCGGCTCCTGTCCCTGGCCGTTTTCACTCAGGGGAGGCTTACTGAAAGGGAGGTTTGTCCACCGCCGATTGTGCGGCCCTTGGTGCTTCGGTCGGCCTCGCCGGCGCTGGCGGCTCCGCCGGCGTCCTCGGCCGGGCTGCCGCCGTGGGCGAGGGCCGCCCGCGAGGGCTGCCCGCGGAGGCGCCCCGGCCCCGCGCCGGGGGCGGCGGTGCGCGCGCAGGGCGGGTCGGAGCGATGGTGCCCGTGCCTGGTGGGTGGATGCTCGCACGTGTGCGGCGGTTCTCGGCGGTGGGGGCCTCGGTAACGATAGGAGCGAACGAAGAGAATCATAGTAAGAGTAAGACCAAGAGTAATGAGAATGGTAATGCGAATACTACTGGTGATAATACCACTAATACTAATACTAGTAGTCATCATATTAATACCAACGACAACGCGAGTAGTTACAAGAAGAAGGACGTGCACGTACCTGAGTTCACGTTGGTATCGAAAGTGCGTACGCCGCAACCGTTCGTACCACGAGGCTGGGCTTGTGGACTCGGGGGCTGCACTCTCATGTCTATGGTTGGGCGCGTACCTCCTCGTCTCGGCTCCCCCCAGCAGCGGCAGGGAAGCACAGTGTCGGGGGGGGAACCGCGACGGAGCGTCAAGCTCGTCCGGAAGTCCGCGCGGAGCGCCAACAGTTTCTGTCTGTGGCGTTTCGTTATTCTCCTTCTTGGAAGCCTCCCGTAGGAGTCCCACGGGAGGCTTCCAAGAAGGCCTACCCGAAGCCCGGTGGGGGGCTCGCCGACCGCCTCCCCCGCCGGTGTCTTCGACGGCCGCCCACCCCTCGGGCCGCCCCCCGGGGAAGCGCGCCGCCAGGGGGCCCCGGGCCTTCACCGATCGAGAGCCGGCTCGAGAGCATCGGGTGGGAGAGCACATGGGGCGGGCGGAGGGCGGGCTCGGCTCGGTCGGCGGTGGTGTCGTCGCCGCACCGCTGCGCCGGCGGCTTGCGGCCGAGCCGTGCTCGGTCGGTTTTGGCCTCGCCGTCGGTGCGGTCGATGTTCGGTTTTGCTGTCGCCGTGGGCAGCCCCGGGAAGGGGAGGAGGAGGAGGAGAGGAGGAGGGAGGAGGAGGAGGAGGAGGAGGAGGAGGAGGAGGAGGAGGAGGAGGAGGAGGGGGCGTCGGTGCGGAGTGCGCGGCGTGCGGCCGGTTTTTCGGCCCCGCCGCCGGGGGCTCTCCTGTATGCAGTTAAGCCCCTCAATGCCAGGAGGCGCAGGGGCAATCGGCCACGTGTGCTGGTTCTCTCGACCCCCTCCTCCTCCTCCTCCTCCTCCTCCTCCTCTCCTCCTCCTCCTCCTCCTCCTCCTCCTCCTCCTCCTCCTCCTCCCGCCCCGGAGATGGCGCCCAGACGTGGGGTCGAGGGCAATCGGCCACGTGTGCTGGTTCTCGGGGGAAAACAAGCCTACCTCGCTTTTGACCACCCTCGCTTCCAAGAGATGCCAAACGATGCCAAATTGCGGCCTGGTTTGGTCAGGCCGCTTGACGAGGAGGCGCGTGGTATGGCTTGGTTTTGCCTGGAAGCGAGAGCGGGGGAGGTAATTCACGCTCTGAGGTTCGCTCGACCCCCTCACCCGCCCCGGGAGATGGCGCCCAGACGTGGGGTCGAGGGCTCCCGACGGGATTTGATCGCGACGACCTCGGACCTCTGGGTGGGCCATGGCGCGTCTCCGCGGCTTCCAGGTCGACAGCTCGGCGGTTATCTCGTATCTCGTCGCGGCTTCGAGTAGTCGGGCTGGGAGCCGCGTTATCCAATCTCGAGCGATTTCCGCCATGAAATTATTGGGACTTGAGTGACGCGGGTCCTGAATGTTCGTCGCCGTTTTTGGTTTCCTTTTGGTGTCCCCTTGCCCTCCACGGGCCCCGAAGAACTGGTCCTGGGTGAAGGCCCCAGGGTCCTGGACCCGTTTTCCTCGGGACCAGTCTCTTCCATGCGAAGGTTTGCAGCACCAGTCGCCAAGGCCCCCTGGGCATGTCAGGGGGCACCCTTGCAGGACGGGCATAGCCCAGGGCCCAGCGACGGGCAGGTGCAAAGCTCGCGTGGTCGCGGCCACGGCCTCCACGCACAGCTCCAGCGTTTACTCCGCTCCGCGTCCAAGAGCCCCGTGCACAGGAGGCGTGGGGACGCAGGACTTCTGCTGGGGCCGCTCCTTGCTTGGAGGCGTCCATGCCTATGGGAAGACAGCGACATAGCGCCTAAGCCTGCCTAAGGCGTCGTTCCCGCAGCGCCCTTCTGGTTTCACCCCCCCCCGCGGGGGCGGTGGCTCTAGCGAGGTCTTCGTAGCCAGCCAACCTGTAAACCATTCTGACACCACACCGCCACTTCAAGGAACCACTGCTGATGTCGCTTTTCGTGACCCGCGCGCAGCAAGTCGCTGTCTTGCCACTCGCCTTCTCCAGATGGCCGCGGGATTCGGTTCGGTATGATGGCCGCGGGGTTCGGCTCGGTGTTCGGTTCGATGCGCGCCTGGTTCGTGTCGGCCGTACCCTCAGATCACATCTTGCAGCTGCAACACGTCACAACATCACCACCAGAGCCGCAGACCCCATCCCCCCGCGCCACTCTTCGGGCCGGCTGGCTCTGCAGGGGCTCCCGAGCACCAAAACAGCCAGGCGAGCATAGGCCCGCCCTGGAGGCACTGGCACGTGCCAGAAGCTCGGGGGCAGCGCCTCGGGCTGCAGACCGAGCCGGCTCGACCGGTGTGGCCTGCGGCACGGGGCGGTGCGCTGCGGCCGGTTCGGCCCGGCGGGCTCCCATGGCCCCCCGGCCCGCGGCCCCTGCTCTCGGCCGCCGAGCCCCGCAGGAGCCCCGCGCGGCCCCGGGGGCCGTGCCCCTCGGCAGTGCCGGTGCCTCGCCCGTCGCTCCGAGGGCTGCCCTGGCCTCCCCGCTGCCTGGCCCAGCTGCTTCGCGCCGCCTCGTTTCTCGCAGCGGGCGTTGTCCAGTCTCGGGCCCCCGGGGCCCTCACAGATCGCCCCCGGCGTGGAGAGTGGCGCGGAGGCATGGGGTCCAGGACTCCGGCGATGAGTTTCTGCGGTGTTGCTCTTGTCGCTGCAGCGTCAGATCTGCGGGCTCCCTCCGCTCACCGTGCAGAAGAGGGGTCGGCTGCACGTAGCAGTGGGCGTATGCCGGAGTGACCCTTGCCCTCAGATGTCCCCAGCGCTGGCTGTGGCTGGCGCGCTTGGATGTGGCCCCCGCACGGCGCCCTGAAGCCGCGCGCCCAAGGTCAATAGCTTGCCCAGGGCTCCTCTCGCGCGTGTTGGCTGGCGTAGGTAGGTCTTTCGCCGTCTTCGGCCTTCCGAGGCCTCTCCGCCGGCCCTGGGGCCTGTCAGAAGCGACTCGGGACGAGGAAAACCCGTTCCCAGGGGAAGCCCCGGCGGACACTGTTCACTTTCCCTCTCAGCCCGACGATTCTAAAATCCGAGCGGCGGGCGCAAAGCCGCGTGGATGATGCTGAGAAGCTCCCTCTGGTGTCGTCGTCCTTTGCGCCCTGTCCAGGCCAAGCTCCCGGACATGGAGTTCAATGAGACCAATAGCCTGAAGTTTCGCCTCCACACGGTTTGTGGAGATAAGCCCCGGAGGGTTCTGTCGAAGGACCTGACTTGGGTACCGTGGAGTCCTGCTCAGAAGCAGCTGTTTGTGGACGGGGCGCCCGCGCCTGTGGCGGACGACGTCCTGATCACTCAGCTGCGGCCAGGCCAGGAGATAGAGCTCGAGTGTTTCTGCGCGAAGGGCACAGGGAGGGAACACGCCAAGTGGTCCCCTGTCAGCACGGCGTCGTACCGATTGCTGCCCTATGCTGATCTGAGCAGGCCCATCCTCGATGGTGACGCCGAGAGGCTCAAGGCCACCTGCGGGGCGGGCGTCTTCGACATAGAAGAGCTGCCCGGCGGCGGCAAGCGAGCAGTGGTCGCTAACCCCCGTAGCTGCGTCACTTGCAGAGAGTGCCTGGAGAGCTTCCCGGGCGAGGCCATGGGGCTGGAGATCGGGAAGATAAAGGACCATTACCTGTCACTCGGACCTGCCGGCACTCCGCCTGCCCTTGGGCCACCTTGTCGCGGTGCCTGCTGCCAGAGAAGGCGGGAGTCTCAGGAGTTCCCCAGGATTCTCTGGCGGAAGCGTGTCGCATCGTTGTTGAGTCAGGCGGCGAAGCATTGTCAGGGGCAGAACGGCGCGCATGAGTTGGAGCGTATCCAGCAAGCTAGGAGGCCTTCAGAGGCCCCCCGAGCTCTCCAGGGCCTTTTCGGAGGCCTCCAGAGGCGTTCAGAGGAAGGGGGGAAGAGAGAGGAGGAATGGAGGGAGGGAGTGGGCGAGGGAGCGAGGGAGCGAGGGAGGAGGAGGAGGAGGAGGAGGAGGCGGAGGAGCAGGAGCAAGAGCAGGATGAGGAACAGGAACAGGAGGGAGTAGGGAGAAAATAGGTAGGGAGCAAGGGAGGGAGGAGAGAGGTGATGATGATGATGAGGAGGAGGAGGAGGAGGAGAAGAAGGGAGACGGGAGAAGGAGGACGAGAATGGAGAGAGAGAGAGGAGGAGGAGGAGGAGGAGGAGGAGGAGGAGCAGGAGGAGGAGCAGGAGGAGGAGGAGCAGGACCAGGAGCAGGAGCAGGAGGAGGAGGAGGAGGAGGAGGAGGAGGAGGAGGAGGAGGGTGGGAGGAGGAGTAAGAGGATTATTCTGGGATTATGCTGCTCGTAGGTCTAACGAAGATGGAAGGCAATCACTTCGCGAGAGTCCCCGCACCGTGTGAGTTTCTACTCACGTGAGTGCTCCTGATGATGGGTAGCGGCCCTCCCATGAACGCGCGAGCCGACCCTTGGACGTAAGGGATCGGGCCGCCACTCAAGGAGCCCCAGCCAGATTCGCCTGCTTATGCAGCGTAAGAAGCGCAACGCCTGCAACATACGCACGTGCGCCCAAACACCACATGGCGTCCGGACCCTCGTGCCTGCTGAATTCGGAGTCGGACTCTTTCGGATTCTTCGGTGACGGGAGCCCGCCGGCTTGACGGGAGTCGGACTCTTCGGATCGGTTCGAGCGCACTCTCGGCATAGACCCGAGAAGCAGTGGCCGCCGCTGGGCACTTTACGACGAAGCTGGCTGGCACCGCGCGTTTTCGTAACGCGTCCGGCCGCTGCTTGGTCTCGGTCGGGGGAGGAGGAGGCATTAGGGGAGGAGCAGAGATCGATTCGGCGGCCTGACTCGGGGCCATGACCCTCTGTTCCACGTCGGTTATCGTATCGACTATGTCGGAAGACATCGTTGCTGGTCTCATTGCAAACTCTAGGGCATGGGCTGTCATGCGATACCTCTGCTTCTCGGCCTGCTGCTGCCAGACAAGGGTGCTCACACATTTGAGCACCCTGCTTGCTTCGCAGGCGCGTCCGCGAGGCGGCTTCCTCGGAGCAAGCGCTCGCCGAGCTCAAGCCCTTTTTGAGTTCGGGTGGCGTGAGCCTCACAGTTTATCGGCACGGATGGCCCTGGGGCCCACAGCCGCAGAGGTCGGACGCCGGGGGCCGCGGCCATGGAAACAAGGGCTCCCCCGAGGGCGCGAAGTTATTCGCGCTTCGCGCTTCGCGGTCCTCGTTCCTTCTCCCCCTCCTCCTCGTCCTCCTTTTCTCCCTTTGGGAGGGCGGCGCGAGAGCGCGAAGTTATTCGCGCTTCGCGCTTCGCGCAGCGCGAAGCGCGAAGTTGGGAGCCCTAGTGGAAAGCGCGACCTCGACCTTCCCACACCAAGGATCCATGGACGTTCCGGATGTCCAGGGTTGGGTCTCCTGTGGAAGGCCTCTGTTGGTCGAGCTCCTGCTGTAGACCAGAGCTGCTCGAATCCTGGCAGAGCATTGGCTCCCCCTGCACGTGCCGGCCACCTGCACGCATGCGCTGCTCGTCACGCTCACGCGCGCGCGGTTGCCAGACATACGCTGTCAGCATGCTTACGTGATTGGCACTGGTCAGTCGAGGCTCGGCCAGCCCTGCAGATACGCTGCTGCGGCCATGTGCCCCAAGCAACGCTCGTGCACGTGTGCGATGCTCAACTGTCCACTTATCTGAGAGCGGCCTGCGGAGCAGCATTCGAACCAGCGTTAGAAAGACCTGGCGCTGCACGTTCATCTCCACCCTCCATCTCTCCATCCAGCTGTTCTGAAGCCCTGCATGTGTAGCCTGCTCCGCAAGGGAGTGAAGCACATGCAGTTCTGTCTGGGGCAATTCGTGCACCTCTCCCACACTGCGCCGTCTCGGAGCCGTCTGGGCCACATACAGAGCCTTTCGGACCACCTAGATACTCATCTGCTTGCTCTGCTTGGTGCGCGCCAAGTCGCCGTAGGAGGCGGCGACGACGCTCTTGCCATCCATCCGTGAACGTTGCATGGAGCTCCACCACGCTGGCTATGCTCCCTCTGGTGGAGGCTGTCAGGTCGTCAAAGTACAGGCATACGTCGGCTGTCGGGTTGGCGCCGTAGAGGAGGTCGATGATGCCGATCAGGACGAGTGACAAACACAGATGGCCGAACATGGATCCTGTTACGACCAGTTGTGCCCTGGGGAGAGGAGGAGGAGGAGGAGGAGGAGGAGGAGGAGGAGGACCGTAGCCATTTTGGCTCAAGTCCGTAGCGGTTGCTCGAAGATTTGAGGTTTGGCGGGGGGGACTTTGCGCCCCCCGAAAGCTCACTGGCGTTCGCCCGCCAGTCACATTTCACATCACGTTCAGGTTAACGCACTGCCACTTTCCCCGCCTACATTCCCGATGGCTCCCGCTTCTTCTCCTTTCGTGTACAACCCGTGGGTGCAGGCATTTGGGGGTGGCGATGGGGGAGACGAGTGGCAGGTCAAAGGCGGAGGTAAGTGGTACAACAAGAACAAGTCGCCCATCAAGTGTTCGGCGTGCGGATGCCGCAAGAACGCTACGACGGCGAAGTGGTGCAAGCACTGTCATGGCCGGCTGCCTCAGGTTCCTGTTGCCCCCGTGCGTTCTAGGCCTGCTCAGTCTGGCTGGTCGAGGCCGCCTGGGTGGTTCGGAGCAGGTGCTGGGGATAAGGGGGCCAAGGCAAAGGCTACGGAAAAGGGAACGGCAAAGGGCGTCCATGGTCCATTTCGGCTCGTTTGGCAAGGGACTGCCCCAGGAGGTCATCCGCAGCACGCTGGGATGGGAGGGGTTGCCCCGCCGCTCCTCGCTGGACCAGTCCCGGCTCTATCGGTCGACGAAGCTAAGGAGATGGCCACCTTATCTCACAAGGCGGGGGACAATACGAGGGGCAAGTACTACGTAGATGTGGCAGCCAGTTTGGAGGCCGCCAGCAAGCCTGTTGAGATCAACGTTCGTCAGCAAGTTCAGCAACAGCATGCAGCCGTTCGGCGCTTGGAGAAACAGCTCGAGAGCCAGCTCAACCGCCTGCTCAAGTGGAAGCAGGAGACGGTGGAGCTGGAGGAGCAGGTCCGCCTCTCGAGGGACCAGCTCACTAAGGCCGACGAGGAGTACAAGGCTGCGGTGTTCAAGCTTCGTGAGAGCAGTTGGGGTCGTCGGTGATGGCGAGGCCGACGTTGATGGTGCTCGCAGCGCCCCTGCTGTTCCCCTCAGAGACATCATGGAGGGTCAGTTTGACCGCTCCAGCATCACCAGGTTTGATAGCATGGAGGAGTTCGAGAGCAGCGAGTACGACATTTCGGACGGCGATAGGAAGAAGTACGAGTCGAGGCTGGAGCAGCTTCAGAAGGGCGTGCAGGACCTGTCGAAGGCTCTGTTCGAGAAGCTCACGTCCACGGCCACGGAGGTCAAGGCCGCACACATGGCTCACAAGGCTCGACTTCAGCGTAAGCGCCGCAAAGGAGAAGATGGCGCGGGGCTTCCTGGGCAGGGAGACGACGGAGACGCACGTGGCGCAGCTGCAGGTGCTGGGGCTGGACCTGCTGAGCCACCTGAGCCAGGCGCCGCCTCTCAGCCTGCCGCAGCCCCAGCTGCGACGGCAGCTGACATCAGAGCCCGGGTCGACCAGCATTTGTCAGGTCCCCCCCCCTCGTCCGATGGGGGGTCTTCGTTGTGATTTGATTGTGGGCACCTCGAGCTCTGATGACCATGCCATATTTCTCGACTGTTTAGCTGGCCGAGCCTCGTCCATAGGCTCGCCTGTTCGCAAGTCAGGTTTGCGATTAGCTCGCAAGCTGCGCTCTTTGCCGCAAGGCGCCTCTGAGTTGTTTCTGCCTTGGGTTTTCCATCCTGTGCCCCCCAGGTGACCGTGCAATTCAGGATCCTCGTGCCTCTCCTCTCCCTGGCCTGGCAGAGCAGATGTTGAGCGAAGGTCCAGCAGCCAAGGCTGCGGTCGCACGCTTGCCGCAATCCGTGTTTTTTTGTTGGGGCAAGTACGGTCAGGGCCTCCAGTCTGAGCGTGGATGACTGGTCAGCCCCCGCCCCTGCGCCTCCAGCGACGTCTGCGTCTGCCAGGCCTCAGAGTTGCGGGCTCGGTGAAGGTCTGCTGGCGCCCACCGTGAGCGCCAACAGTTGGGGCACATTAAAAGGATATTTGACGAGTTGTTCTTCGCGCGTCGCGCTGGCTCAGGAACGTCGTCCGAGGAGCAGTGGCGGGATCGACGCGGCCTCGAAAGGGGCAAAGTATCTGGGGTGGAAACCGCTTTGGGCTCCAGGTGGTATTGGCGCAGGTGGGGGCACCTCCTCTGGGGTCGGCGTCTTCGCGCGCGATGCGCCCGGCATGTTTGAGCGTCAGGACAAGGTCGCGCTGGCCGAGGGCCGCGCCAGAGGGGCCATGGTGCACGCGCCAGGCTGCGCCACCTTCTGCGTCCTCTCCCTCTACCTCCACCACAGTGAAGGTCTGTCCGAGGTCAATCTGTCCCTGTTGAAATCCGTGGGGGGGTTTATTGGAAGTCTGGAATGCGAGTTCATTATTGCGGCTGGCTGGAATTTCCCCTTGAAGCCCTTTCCGTTTCGGGGTTTCCCTCGAAAACGAATGGCGTGGTTGTCAGTGCTCAGAGGCACGCCCACTTTCCGAGTGCTGGCCCCCCTGTCT